ATCAGGGCCAGTTTTTGGTTAATTTTCCATTTTGAATATTTTTTAAAAATACCTGTCTTTTATTCTTAAAAAAAAACAAAAAATATTCTAAAAAAAGAAAAGACTCTTCTGTTGCTGTGTGCTCTCATTTGCCCTGTCTCGTGGCTGTGTTTGGTCCACATCAGGGCCAGTTTTTGGTTAATTTTCCATTTTTGAATATTTTTTAAAAATACCTGTCTTTTATTCTTAAAAAAATACAAAAAATATTCTAAAAAAAAAAGACTCTTCTGGCTGTGTGTGTTTGTCATTTGTGTAGTTCCAACCAGTGCGCTCCTTTTGCCAACACAAAGTGCTATAATACAGTGCTCGCTCATCATTTGTGTAGTTCCAACCAGTGCGCTCCTTTTGCCAACACAAAGTGCTATAATACAGTGCTCGCTCATTTGTGTAGTTCCAACCAGTGCGCTCCTTTTGCCAACACAAAGTGCTATAATACAGTGCTCGCTTATTTGTGTAGTTCCAACCAGTGCGCTCCTTTTGCCAACACAAAGTGCTATAATACAGTGCTCGCTCATCATTTGTGTAGTTCCAACCAGTGTGCTCCTTTTGCCAACACAAAGTGCTATAATACAGTGCTCGCTCATTTGTGTAGTTCCAACCAGTGCGCTCCTTTTGCCAACACAAAGTGCTACATACACTGCTCGCTCATCATTTGTGTAGTTCCAACCAGTGCGCTCCTTTTGCCAACACAAAGTGCTACATACACTGCTCGCTCATTTGTGTAGTTCCAACCAGTGCGCTCCTTTTGCCAACACAAAGTGCTACATACACTGCTCACTCATTTGTGTAGTTCCAACCAGTGCGCTCCTTTTGCCAACACAAAGTGCTATAATACAGTGCTCGCTCATTTGTGTAGTTCCAACCAGTGCGCTCCTTTTGCCAACACAAAGTGCTACATACACTGCTCGCTCATCATTTGTGTAGTTCCAACCAGTGCGCTCCTTTTGCCAACACAAAGTGCTATAATACACTGCTCGCTCATTTGTGTAGTTCCAACCAGTGCGCTCCTTTTGCCAACACAAAGTGCTACATACACTGCTCGCTCATTTGTGTAGTTCCAACCAGTGCGCTCCTTTTGCCAACACAAAGTGCTATAAGACAGTGCTCGCTCATTTGTGTAGTTCCAACCAGTGCGCTCCTTTTGCCAACACAAAGTGCTACATACACTGCTCGCTCATCATTTGTGTAGTTCCCACCAGTGCGCTCCTTTTGCCAACACAAAGTGCTACATACACTGCTCGCTCATCATTTGTGTAGTTCCAACCAGTGCGCTCCTTTTGCCAACACAAAGTGCTACATACACTGCTCGCTCATCATTTGTGTAGTTCCAACCAGTGCGCTCCTTTTGCCAACACAAAGTGCTACATACACTGCTCGCTCATTTGTGTAGTTCCAACCAGTGCGCTCCTTTTGCCAACACAAAGTGCTACATACACTGCTCGCTCATTTGTGTAGTTCCAACCAGTGCGCTCCTTTTGCCACCAGAAAGTGCTATAATACAGTGCTCGCTCATTTGTGTAGTTCCAACCAGTGCGCTCCTTTTGCTCATTATTTGTGTAGTTCCAACCAGTGTGATGAAACGCTTCCTTCCCGGCTTTTCTAGTCGCAAGGGCCAAGTGCTATCGCGAATACCGAAGAAAGGCAGGGGACTGAAGATGAACATTGAACACATTGACAAGAAGGGAACATTCATCCAACGAGATGGTTATTGAAACACCCACAGATGCTTCAACCAGCTGTGAGATGGCAGAACCTTCTTCTTCATCAGTTCGAAAGACTCTACGTTCAGATCCTGATGTCGTTCCAAGTACCTCTGATATTACTTGTTATGAAGAGGAGGGCGAGGAGGCGGACGTGTCAGAGGAATGGGAGGAAGACAAGATGGAATGTGCCACCACAGGAATTAGTGATCAAGAGGACTGCATGCTGATGGAGGGCGAGCTACAGAAACAACCAACGATTATACTCCCTTCCACAAACACCGACAGTCCAAACACGAGCATGAGTACATCTGAAGTGCCTAGTAGGGGTAGGCCGAGATCGCTCCTATGGGATCATTACGACGTCCATAATGAGAGGGCCACTTTGGCAGTTTGCAGGCATTGCGGTGTGAGTGTCAGCAGAGGAAAAGATATGAGGCATCTTGCCACAACAGGGCTAAGGATGCACATTAAGATACACCACCCCCAAATGTGAAGTTGGTCCTTCTTACTTAACTTGCAATACTGCTACAGAAATTAGTATGTATGCAATACTTCCCAGATAATTTTCAGAGTTTTTTCAAAGTGTAATTTCTGTTACTTTTTGTTACTTTTTCTTTATTTCTTATATTTACTTTCTAAGTTTTTATAATAACATTATTTTTATATATTAATAATTTATAATTTAATTTTATATATTATTTTATTATTATTTATAATTATATTTTATAAATATTTTATAAATTTAATTATATTTTATTTAAATATTTATATTATTTATTTCATTTATATAATATATATAATAATATATTATTATATTATTTTATTTTATATTGTATATATTATATAATTTTATATTATTTATTGTTATTATTTATTATTTTTATTATTATTATTATTTATTATTATTTATATTTTTAATTTTATATTATTTATTATTTATTGACTCAGTTTTGGATACTTTATCTTATTACTTTTTTATTTAATATCTTAATATCTTGTTCTATTTGATTATTTTATTTGATTTATTTTATGAAATGATTTTGTTTATAGAGCATTTAGCATTGCGCAATCGCGTCCGCCATTTTAACGAATCGATTCGTTATTATTTTAATAGCGAATCGATTCGTATTTAATAACGAAGTTTCGGAAGTCGCTTTTGCGCATGCGCAATCGCCTCCGCCGTTTTAACGAATCAATTCGTTATAACCTTAACGAATCGACCCCGCGCCAATAACGAAGCTTCGGAAGTGATTTTGCGCATGCGCGGGGGGTCCGCCATCTTAACGAATTGATTCGTAAATATTTACAAAATTTCGTAAATACCGAACTTTTTTAAGGGAAAATTTTGTAATTATTTTAAATATCGAAACAAAAAAACACCCCAATTACAAATCGATTTTAGAAACAAATTTTTGCGTTGTTACCCAGGCCTACTGGATAGCCTACGAGGTCTCTTCCACTTCTATGGTTCTATTATTCTGGATCCTCCAGAAAGAGGAAACTGTTATGACATCGGGAGAACCTGCACAAGTAATGGAAATTGTTTATGGGCTAAATAACAGAGATGTCCCCTAACAAAAAAGTACATGGAGAAGACCTTATCACACACATCTGCTATTCTGTTACATTCAGGTTCTCACTGATAATGGATTCATATTGCATCAAGCACCTCTGATATCACACTGGCTCAAATGTGCTTAAGTTTGGACTATTAAGAAAAATATATTAGCACTGCAGCAGTGTACAAGATTTTCTGCTTTTCACAAGTCTTTTTTCATTAATTTGTGTAGCCAGGACGAGAAAAACATTTCAAAGGGGATTGAATTACCTTCACATAGTGAGATAAGATAGAGAGAAAACAGTACCATTGCAGGCTCTGTACAACACTGTTAATTTGCTTGGCTCATTGGCCGGGGCCTGTTAAGACCTTGATAAAACCAGCCGGAATGTGTGCTGTATAACTCTGGACAGCTGGAAGGAGAAAAGGCCAGTCACAAATTAAATTAAGAGGTGTAAAATGTCGTGAGAAGGAAAACAAATTGAGATGGCGAAAACAGGTGCCAACTGACATTTATTCCATATTCAGTCACACTTTCTTTTCTCACTGTGATTAGCAGCTAAGCTGAATTAGGGCAGATTTCATGCTTCTGTGACCTCCCTGAGTTCCCGTAAAGAAAAAGGAAAAACACCTGCAGGTAGATGTTTTTCCAAAGAGCTAAAACATTAAAATCCCCAACTACTGTTGAACCAGCTGAATAGTAGTGATATGCTGGTCAGAGTTAAAGGGCAACACTGCATTCAAATGTATGAAATCACTCTCCGATTCAAAGCATTGCTCATTAAACAATGATTTCTATGCATTACAGTAGAAATTGCACATAAAAAGAACTTTCCACATTGTTGTTTCTTTGGTTTGCTCTATCTCAAAAGCATCATGAGCTTGCAAGAATAATTTGCATAATGGTTTATCAATCTGCTCTTAAAATGCAAAAATAACTTGTAATACCAATCCATACTAGATATAATACAAAGTCAGTTCCTACATCTTTAACAAAAGCTTGCTGCTTTCTATAAAGTCGGACAGATCAAATACATTATATAAAACATATAAAAACTTCTCTTCAACTTCTGATCATACCATTTTCTTAATGTTGCATACAGCACCATTCTAGCCTTTATGATCTGTTTTTCTGTCACTATCAATACAGTATTCTGAATATGCTCAAGTTGAGTTTACAAACTTTGTTGCCTATATGAGTAGATGAGAAAGACAATATACATTTTCTATAGGGACAAACAAGTGGCACCTTGGAAAACTTGATATTGTGGGGTTCCTAAAATAAATGTGAAACAGCTGGCGTTATATCAATGAATACAATAGTTCTGGTGGACAGTCCCAGCTGTTGTGAATATAAAACCCACAGAAAAATCCTAAAAGGCATTTTTTCAGCTGAGGACATACAATACTTTGCAGAGGATCTGCTACTGTTTCTATCTAAAGTGCAGGTGCTTGAGATGCATTAGGTTTATTATGATCCATTCATATTCAACTGTTATTACATGTATTTCATTTATTACCATAAATATTCTCTAAGTGTTTCCAAATCTCCTTTACGTTGGCCCTTTTACCCAAAACCAACAGATCCTCAACATTATTTTATCACTCACTCCCCAGTGAAGGAGATCTTCTACTATGACTTCACCTTTAAACGATGCAATTTATAATGCAGAGATGGTAATGAAAAGAAACAGAAAACATTCTCGTTAATACTTTATTAGTGTATTTTTTCTGAGCTTTTCTGTTGAACAACATAAAGCAAACTCCAAATAAAAACCTAGAGTTCTTAGCTGATCCAAAAGAGAGAAAGAGACCATGGCATTCCAAATTGGTTTTCATTCTTTGTTAAAGAAAAGGGGAAAAATATTGAAAGGACCATTAGGCACACAGTTGACACATACTGTACAATGATATGCATAAGTCATTTACTTCACAACTATATTAAGATGTGCTCTTTAGATTTTGCTCCTTGTAATGTAAGAACTATGCTCATGTGAGCACAGAGAAGTAGGATTTACAGGGAGTGACAAACCAGACTTTTAAAACAAGTCCTTAAATAATCCAACACAGCAGCAATAACAGAATATATATCGTTGGTTTAGACAGATTACACCTTTCATCTCAATAGCTTAAAAAGGTCTTCCTCCTCCTCCTTTTTTTAAGTTATTCAAATACACATGCGTTACATGAAAATATTGCACTAAAATTAAAACTGAGATTGTAGAATTCATAGTTTACTTTTAAAAATTGTTACACATTCTGGTAGCAATTAAAATTAACTGTTTAGTTATAGCAAACACCAGAGGCAGAAGCTCGAGGATGAACCATATGAAATATTCCACCTTACTGTCCATTCTCTTGAATTAAGGCTAAGTGCATTTTGGTGGACAATGGCACATTTATTTTCAGAGGCTGGTCACAGCATTCACAGGCCAGGACATCCCCAGCTCAGTGTGTGCTGTGTTTAGACAATCAATTTGGGGCAGGGGCACTTTGAAAGATGGTAACCAGGATGAACAAGGTATGGCCTTCCAGATGTTAGACTACAACTCCCATAATTCCTCACCATTGGCTACAATGGCTCTGGTTTCATGAGAGATGACATCTTTCTGTAAGTGCATCCACACCCATAGAAATGATACAGGGGCTATAAATGATAAAATGTGAATGAACAACATGTGAACTATGCACAAATGATCAAGAAGAGACATACAGTTCATGGTTCCTGTCTGTAGGTATGCTCTGGAACTAAATACAGATGACAAAACCCTTGAGGTACATTGAAAGAAATCACCGAATTTCATTCAACCAAAACTTTAGGAATAGAGAATCAAAACTCCAACAACTGAGTAGAATCCTAACAACTAATGTAGATGCTCAAAGATAGGAGAAACTATATTTGTTTTATTGGCCGTTGATCATCCTGGTAGTGAAAACTGAATCAATTACTCTACATATACTGTATCAATTCAAGTTGCTTAAGCAGAATTTATTACAAGGTGTATTTAGGACTAAAACATTTTCTGTATCCAAAGTATGTAGATTTTGGTGTTTAATTGCTGAATTAGGCCAACAATGACATAGGTCTATTTTTCACAGAATTCTAAATCTGTTTAAACTTCAAACTGCAAGTGGGGGCATTATAATTGAATATTCCTTCATGCAAAACTGGCATGTTGAAGAAAAAGTCAGCTATAAACGTTTCTCCTGACATGCCTTGTTTCTAAGTGCAAGGATTTTCAAAAACTTTGTATGTATCTTAATCAAAGACCCCAACTTGAAATTCAAAATGGTGCAGATCAGCTCTTGTTACCATTTCATTGACCATCAGGGCATTGACTGACAATCAAATCAACAGAATTTTTTATAACATATATGTATGATATATCTTGTTAACTGTTACCACTATTTAAAAATACGGAGAAAAGGTAAGAATTGATTCTTCATATCTGTTGCCTGAAAATATAATGATGGTACGTGGAATTACGTATCTACTTGAAACAAGTAGCCTTTGAAACAAATGCTTACCGTAATGAAAATGTAAAAAAAAAAAAAGTTAGAGCACACTCAGAACAGATGTCCCCTGCTTATTTAAAGAGTTAGGGATCATGGTGCTCCCATGAAGTGAAAATTGTTAAAAAGCAGAATCTAGTGGGGTTTTTAAAGCTTGCAAATGCAAGACTGAATACTAGGAGGTGCTAAGACAACAGAGGAAAATAATAATGCTGAGTGAACTGAAAGAGAGAAAAGCATGAGGAAACCGGGGTCAAAATTGCAGTAAGTAGCTATAAGTTATATCTATCAAAACAGTGGAATATTGAAAACCAAAGTTGCTGAAAAGAAGGGGGTGCTTGTACTGAGCAGACCCTGCTTCAAGAAAGTTAACCAAGTGAGACATTAAGAGTGGCAGGGTGTGTGTCTACAGCCTGGATGCCTTAAACCAGGCCTCTTCAACCTTCAGCCTGCCAGTTGTTTTGGACTTCAGCTCCTAGAATTCCTGACCATTGAACAAACTGGCTAGGATTTCTGGGAGTTGGAGGCCCAAACACCTGGAGGACTGCAGATTGAAGAGGCCTGCCTTAAACTGATATCCTTCTTGGCTGCTCCCCTCTTTGATCTTCCAAGGTTTGAACTTTTTTCTCCTGAATATAGGTTACTAAATTGGAGAACCTCAGCTGTGAGACCTTTTAGGAACTGCATTTACAACCAAACCCTGCCAATTAAAATCAGAACTCTTTTCAAAAAAGAATATGTTAACAGTGTACTATATCTTAGATATTTTCTGAATTTCTCTTTCTCTCTTCTTAAATAACCACTATATTTGAAATCCCTTGGTGATGGGAGGAAGGAAAGTCAGAAAGGGAGATGGCGAGTCCAAGATAAATTAAGGCTAATGAAGTGTGGTCAATTATTATTTCATTCTCAATTGGACATGTTTGGAAGTAAAGAGGGTAAATGGGGGGGGGGGAGCTTTCTGTGTTGAAGAGGTTTATTAAAATTTTACATTATGTAAAAAATAAAAAGATTGTTATTTAAAAAAATATTGTAATTGTGTCTCTTATTTTCATATATACACTATGGTGCATTCAGGAATTTGCAACTATTTGCATATTATGACTGTTCACCGAAGTCTGTAAGACTTTCATCTCAGCAAGAAACCAAGTTGTTTTAGCTATTTACCACTTGAGGGGAATATACTTAAGTATGTCTTAGGGTGATTTTAATGGCATATAATACAATCCCTTTTTTCAAAAGAAAAGAAATGTTCTTAATGCCAACAGTGTTTTATTTTAAATTGCTGCTTTCCCTCATCCTCACACTCCCCAGGTTCCTAATAAATAAATAAATGTGGCAACCTCATATTTTAAACACTGTTCCTTTTGTTTGCTAAGTGCTATTAGGAATCTTTTCATTTAACGGTTATATGAAAACAACAAAGATTATAAGTGTAGAGTAAACCAATACTGCTAAACAAGCTGATTCAAAACCATGTTTAATTTCCTGTACTTCTGCCCTTGCTCAGTGAAAAATAAACCCAACCAAGGTAATTTATTTAGTTCAGCTTTTAAAAAAAAGAAAATTCAGGTAGATGATGCCATGTGCAAAATCCATATTATTACCTCAGCGTTTAGTTAGGAAATATAGTTTGGGGGAAATTACAACAGTTCTCAGAGCTATTTGTCCCACAAAACGTTTCTTCATGCTAGCTCAACCTTTTCAGACCCGCTGATTGAGATCTACAAGCCTTGACAGTCATAATGCAAATCAAATCGCACCTGATTCTCACATTGCACAATCTCCCAGTTCCAAGCACAGCAGCCAAATCCTCCATTGCTATCACCATAGTTGTGCTTTACTTATGTCTCAGTGGACAAGGTCTAGCACGTTTTCATTGCTGGCATTCATAAATCCCGTCAGGAGTGGAAGAAACAGACATTCTTTTCAGAGCGCAGTAGTTTTCTTCTCAATGTTGCATGAAGATGCACCAAATCATTTAAGACACATGAACCCTGTTCATGGTAGTGGTTGCATTAGAGATGAAGGATGAGAAGGACCACATCTTCTATGGATGCATTAATAATCTTATTATGTGACACTAAAAGACTGGTGCAGAAATAACAGCATGAGAGTTATAAGCCCCAGAGAATCTGCCCAGGTTCTGGGCAAACAGACACCAATGAATAAGTCTGGAGTGTCACCTTTTCTGTAAAAAAGGCGCTTGCGTAGATTGTAGTCTATGCATGTATCGCTGCATTTGTTTTGAATGTGAATGCAGTTTTTTGAAGAGATCAGGAAATCCATACACTGGAAATAAGGTTTCCAAGAAGCCCTCCAGAAAGACATATATCAGCCGTTTATTTAGTTGAGTATGTTGAAACATTTCAAAGACTCGGAGGATGCCTTTTCTTGTTGTCTCAGCACCTAGGATATGCTTCAGCTCATCTAGACAAAGACAACAAAATATGACAGTTCAAGTAAAGTCGTTATCTTCACATGTGTTTGAAATACAGGATGTTTCAAAACGATGGATCAAATTTCAGAGCAACATATTGCACAATTTATTTATTTATTTATTTAGACGTTTTCTATACCGGCCTTCTCACCTCAACGAGGGACTCAGGTCGGTTTACAGCATATATGAAAGTACAATAACATATAAGTACAACAAAGTGCAAAGTCATTACATATTAAAATAGTACAATAAAGTACAATAAAAACATCACAATGGTAACATATTATACAAAAAGTTACAAATTGTTTACTGCATATGTGTCAAACTCAAGGCCGATGGGCTGAATCAGGCCCACCATGTCATTTTATGTAGCCCTCCAGGTACTGGACTACAACTTCTGTATACTTCATCATTAGACATCATGGCTAGAGCTGATGGGAATTGTTGTACAGAAACATCAAGAGTGCTGCAGTTTGTTCTCTTTAATCAGGAGAGTGGGATTTGAGTTTGGATACAAGGCTTGTGGATGCAATGTCTGACTTTAAAATGTCCATTCCCCAACCTCAGAGCCACAAGTGCTGTTGGGCTGCAATTCCCATTATCCCCAGTCATCATTAAGAATTCTCAAAAGTGATGGAAATTGTTGTTCTACAACATCTGAGGACCAAGACTGGGTAAAAAAAATAAAGAGTATTGAAATAATGCAAACATTATAATTGGTCCTCTGTACCCATGAATTCTCCATCCATAGATTCAATAGCCCTTTGAAGGCAACAATAAGGCTGATGGAGCCCTCAATGAAAATGAGCTTGATACAATCGGTTTAATGAGTTGACAAGTTACCAAGTTTTATTAACCATTTTGAACGAGAAACAAATCTAAAAAATAACACCACAAATGAAGAATATCTCATTGGGACTTATGCTGAGGGATCACAATCTTGAGAATGACTGAGGTTTGTATGCTGGAAGAGGTATCTAACAGTAACCCATTGGAAACTATGCCCCACCCTTTCAAGTGGTAAAAGTTTCATTCGTGGGCAGTTCATGGTTGCAGAGATATAGCAATTTCATATTGGGTCCATCTTTTTGAAAAACCCCATATATCATTACTATGCTACATACAAGGTTCTCTTTCTGTCACCCAGTTGTCACAACTGAGAGCATTTCTAACTCTTCAAGTAGCAACCAATTTAATAAATTTCACAAACCTGGCATTATCCCCAGTAATTTTGTTTTTCCAGCTATTCTTGTTCGCATTCGTATTGCATTGTCTCTGCGGGGAACAGTTTCTGCCAAAATACCATTTGGCCAAAAGGCATCCCTGTAGGCAAAATAAATTTACAGTGGAAAATGAAAACCATGCCACGGTTACCAGCTACAAACACTGCAGTGCATTTAACACAATTTCACATGCATTTTTTAATCTCAAAATCCCAATATTCTCTAAACTGATCTGTTTATTGTCTTAGACCTTGCCTATACAAAGGCTGGAACCAAAGTCTATTGATGATACTCAAAACTCCGAATTTGATCACAGCAAACTAAAGGATTGATTTATAAAGGAAGACAATACCTAATGCTATCAGTTTAACCTTGGATTAAGAGCTACAAAATTAAGTAAACACATAGAAATCAATATAAACTTCCTTTTCCCTTCAAAAGTGACTCATCAGAGTATCCACTAGTGAAAGAAAGGCCAAGTAATATGGGAACGGAAGAAAAAGGATGTGAACGTATTTTTAAAGATTCATTAAAATGAAGATTCCTTGAAAGAGCTAATAATCAGTCAAAGGCAAGAGTAGTAACTGGTTCTAATAAAAAACACTCATTCTCAGCTACAAGTATATATATAAAATACAAACCTGAACCGTTTAACCGCATCTGCAACCTGTTCTGGAGATGTCATCCAATCAACGTGATCAACTATTTTTCTGAAATAAAAGCAGGCTTATAAGTTGAGTCAGATCTAGACTAAGTTGAACCTAAGCTTTACTGCAGTTGGGATGAAGGGTGCATCTACACTGCCAAATGATGCTGGAGCTTCATCAAACTAGAGCTCCTATGATTCTACAGCATTGAGGCATTAAAGCTTTTCAGCTGGGAAGGGACTTTATATCCAAATCCAACACAATACCTAAGATATGGAGCTGCTACCATGCTTTTATTTGAATAGATACTACAAGGGTTATCTGGAAAATAAGGTTACAAGGAACGTAGCTCTCATGGGGAATTTTCTGAGGAAGTTGGCATCACTGCCATGTAGTGGGAAGCCAGTGGAAACTAATGATCAGAACAGTCGTCAGTAGCTCATCGACTGGCATTGTGATGAAGGTTAGAGATGAGCGTCCTCATTTTGTTTCCCTCCAAGTGAGAAGTTAGTGCAGTAATACGCTACCTAAATGCTAAGGGCATGAACGCCGTTGCTATTCATCACAAAATCATTTCTGTTTATGGAGAGGACGTAATGTCAAAACAGCATGGGACAAAATGGGTACGAAATATATTATGAGACCATGAAGAAACTTTGCAGTCATCCAAAACATCATGAGATGCTGATGGCAGAAGTCTGTTTCCTTCATGACAATGTGCATCTGCACAATGCTCAGGCAACACAAGAGTTGTTGACTTCATTTGGTTAAGATGTTTAAAACCACCCCTCTCACAGACCCGATCTCACACCCAGTGACTATCATCTGTTCACTAAATTAAAGAAACACCTTGGTGGAAAACACTTTTCCGATGACAATGACGAGAAAATCCAAGTGACGAACTGGCTGAAAAAAGGCAGAGGGAAACTTCTATGATACAGGCATCAAAAACACGTCCCATAGATGACAAAATGTATTAAACTAAATGGTGATTATGTGGAAAAATAATGTAATACCTATGCTACAATTCATGTAAGTTTTATTAAAATATATTCATTCTTTGTATTTAAAAAAAATCTTGTAACTTTACTTTTCGAATAACCCTCGTAGTTGGCCAGTTTCAAAACTAGCTGGTTAAAGGAAGGACAGGTATCAGGTATAGATGACAATTTGGAAACAAGGACTTCTACTTCATCAATCTAAGAAACTATATTGGAGATTAAGTGAGGTAAAGAGCTGTATGGTACAAACAAAAGAAAAGACAGAAGTGTCAGCTGCCCAGTCAGAAAACAATTTTGTTTTTCCTGTATTTTGTTACTAATTTTTTTTCTTTAGCCCAAGGGATGGGGTGGGGAACTAGTTTTTCTATTCTGACTCACCAAAATTATTAATATTCAGCTTTGTTTAAAATTATATCACATATTAAAACTACCGTATATTCCGGCATATAAGACGACTGGGCGTATAAGACGACCCCCAACTTTTCCAGTTAAAATATAGAGTTTGGGATATACTCGCCGTATAAGACCACCCCTCTTCCAATGCACACCAAATAAATTTTTTTAAAAAATCAGATTTGAATTCAATATGGTAATTTTAATTCAAATGCTTCTGACATGCAGGTTCCTATAAGAGGGACATTGTACCTTACATTGGACATTATAGTTGCTCTTCCTCCCTTGAATTTCATTTACACTCTGGGTCCTTTACATCATGCTAGCAAGTATGAAAGCAGGCTTTAAATGGTTCAGATTACATGTATGTTGGCATAGAAGCTTGCATGCAAATAGAAGTCAGGCTTTGTATGATGAGTACTGAGGTGAAGGCAAAGCATTTGTAGAATTTTTATCTATAAGCAGTCTTTAAAAATCAGGACCTCCTATCAGAAGAGAAGGGCAGACTGGAACTCATCCTTCAGAAATGTAGCATTTGGCATGGAACATGTTTACTGGGTCACATCCTGAAATGTCTTCATCCTCAAATCACCGTGACAGCTTGAATTGTTTTAGAGTTTCTCAAGAACACAGCCAGGTAATGTTTAATTGTTAGAAGGGGAAAAGAGGAAGGGGGACCCTGGGTCAAGAGGAGCTTTCCAGTTTGACTTCTGTTAAAAATGAAATGCAAAGATACAGGATGGGGGACGCGTGGCTCGAGAGCGGTATGTGTGAAAAAGATCTTGGGGTCCTTGTGGACAACAAGTTAAACATGAGCCAACAATGTCATGCGGTGGCAAAAAAAAAAAACCAATAGGATTTTGGCCTGCATCAATAAGAGCATAGCGTCTAGATCCAGGGAAGTCATGCTCCCCATGCTCTATTCTGCCTTGGTTAGATCAAACCTGGAATATTGTGTCCAATTCTGGGCACCACAATTGAAGAGAGATATTGACAAGCTGGAATGTGTCCAGAGGAAGAGGGTGACTAAAATGATCAAGGGTCTGGAGAACAAGCCCTATGAGGAGCGGCTTAAAGAGCTCGGTATGTTTAGTCTGAAGAAGAGAAGGCTGAGAGGAGACATGATGAGACCCTGTGTAAATATGTGAGAGGAAGTCACAGGGAGGAGAGAGCAGATCAAGGGTCTGGAGAACAAGCCCTATGAGGAGCGGCTTAAAGAGCTGGGTATGTTTAGCCTGAAGAAGAGAAGGCTGAGAGGAGACATGATGAGAGCCATGTATAAATATTTGAGAGGAAGTCAAAGGGAGAGAAAGCAGATCAAGGGTCTGGAGAACAAGCCCTATGAGGAGTGGCTTAAAGAGCTGGGTATGTTTAGCCTGAAGAAGAGAAGGCTGAGAGGAGACATGATGAGAGCCATGTATAAATATGTGAGAAGAAGTCATAGGGAGGAGAGAGCAGATCAAGGGTCTGGAGAACAAGCCCTATGAGGAGTGGCTTAAAGAGCTGGGTATGTTTAGTCTGAAGAAGAGAAGGCTGAGAGGAGACATGATGAGAGCCATGTATAAATATGTGAGAGGAAGTCATAGGGAGGAGAGAGCAGATCAAGGGTCTGGAGAACAAGCCCTATGAGGAGTGGCTTAAAGAGCTGGGTATGTTTAGTCTGAAGAAGAGAAGGCTGAGAGGAGACATGATGAGAGCCATGTATAAATATGTGAGAGGAAGTCATAGGGAGGAGAGAACAGATCAAGGGTCTGGAGAACAAGCCCTATGAGGAGTGGCTTAAAGAGCTGGGTATGTTTAGTCTGAAGAAGAGAGGGCTGAGAGGAGAGATGATGAGAGCCATGTATAAATATGTGAGAAGAAGTCATAGGGAGGAGAGAGCAGATCAAGGGTCTGGAGAACAAGCCCTATGAGGAGTGGCTTAAAGAACTGGGTATGTTTAGTCTGAAGAAGAGAAGGCTGAGAGGAGACATGATGAGAGCCATGTGTAAATATGTGAGAAGAAGTCATAGGGAGGAGAGAGCAGATCAAGGGTCTGAAGAACAAGCCCTATGAGGAGTGGCTTAAAGAGCTGGGTATGTTTAGTCTGAAGAAGAGAAGGCTGAGAGGAGACATGATGAGAGCCATGTATAAATATGTGAGAGGAAGTCATAGGGAGGAGAGAGCAGATCAAGGGTCTGGAGAACAAGCCCTATGAGGAGTGGCTTAAAGAGCTGGGTATGTTTAGTCTGAAGAAGAGAAGGCTGAGAGGAGACATGATGAGAGCCATGTATAAATATGTGAGAGGAAGCCACAGGGAGGAGAGAGCAGATCAAGGCTTCTGGAGAACAAGCCCTATGAGGAGCGGCTTAAGGAGCTGGGCATGTTTAGCCTGAAGAAGAGAAGGCTGAGAGGAGACATGATGAGAGCCATGTATAAATATGTGAGAAGAAGTCATAGGGAGGAGAGAGCAGATCAAGGGTCTGGAGAACAAGCCCTATGAGGAGTGGCTTAAAGAGCTGGGTATGTTTAGCTGAAGAAGAGAAGGCTGAGAGGAGGGAGGGCGAAGGGAGGGAGGGGGCGAGGAGGAGGAGCGGCAGCCTTTGCTACCAATCTGGCAGCGTGGTAGCCTACTGGGCTGTCTTCACCCTCGCAGGCATTGAGTTGGGTCCACCTCCGCCCTCCATCTCAGAACAGCTGCTGCAGGAGGGAGCCAAAGCCAGAGGGGCAGGGGCGGGGCCTCTGGCTGCTCCGCCCCACCCCCGCAGAGGGCCCCGCCCCCCAGTCCCACCCCCGCGCTCTGGCTTCAACTCCTGCTGCTTTACCAGGCCGGCGGGGGTGTTTGCATGCTGTAATGTCCCCTCCGCCACTGGTCTGCTGCTAGCTCTGCCTCTGGCCTCAAAGTTCAGAGCAACTGCCGAGGGAACCAAACCTGGAGCGTGGGGCGGGACCGCGAGGGGCGGGGTCCTCTTCTCCCACTGCCCCCCCGCCGGCCTGGTAAAGCAGCAGGAGTTGAAGACGGAGCGCGGGGGTGGGACTGGGGGGCGGGGCCCTCTGCAGGGGCGGGGCGGAGCAGCCAGAGGCCCCGCCCCCGCCCCTCTGGCTTTGGCTCCTGTTCTGGGATAGAGGGCGGAGGCGGAGCCCACTGAATGCCGGCGAGGATGACGACAGCCCAGTAGGCTACCATGCTGCCAGCTTGGTAGCGAAGCCTGCCGCTGCTCCTCCTCGCCCCCTCCCTCCCTCCCTCCGCCCTCCCTCCTCCTCAGGCTCCACCACGCGGGGATGCCAAGGGCGAGGGACACGAGGGAAAAATGATCCAAAAAAATTTATGCCGGGGTACAAGACGACTCCCCACTTTTGAGATGATTTTCCAGGCTTAGAAAGTCGTCTTGTACCCCGGAATATACGGTAACAATTATTGCTTAAATTGGAAATGCACAGTTCTTCACAAGGACATCATCTAATTTTAAAATATTAGAAGAAAGACTGGAAGGCAGTACTTATTTATTGTGTATCCATGCATTGCTCTGATCAGCTGCTGGAGCAAGTTTTTGATATTTCGTCGTAACCACTGATTTCTCTCCTTTAGATCAAAGATTTCATCCATGAGTAGCAGCATTATTTTGAGGGGAACATTGTCATCCACCTAATAAATTGGGATAGAAAATTAATTTTAAGTTTGTTTCCACAGTCAAGAATGTAACTATTATATAAATAATTGGAATTTATGCTATATGGAATTAACTGTAGAATGAATTATAGTGAACAATCAACAATATTTTATGTATTACAAATCCATTGATCTTTTCAGATAACAATTCTTAAGAAAGTTTACAAGGGATTTCATCCCTTAATGCATTTGCTTATTATAATAAAAGCAATATATTTCATATATTGATATTAAAATTGTCATATTTATCCTTTTTTCATTTTTAAATTTTATTTTTATCAATTGTATCTATTAAAAATTTACTAACCTTCACCAACTTCCCACATAAGTTTTCAGCAAATAGACTCTCAAAAATAAATCGTTACTTTAGCAGCTTGCTTTAGGACTTAGATGCTGGTTATCTTGCAACAGACCAACACAGCTACTACTCTGAATTTTGTAAAATGTATTTTCAATATCTATTTTTCCCCAGTTACAAACATACAATACATTTTTAAAATCTCAACTGCACAGATTTAATCAATGCCAAGAATAATACAAATATATTTAGGGCAACTTCTCTGATAATTTGAAAAAAATGCTAACAATTGGACCATCATCCTGGGGGAGAAAATGCCAGTTTTCTAAAATCGTAGCAGTCAGTACACAGAAAAAGAAAGTGGAATGCTTTGATGTGGCAAAGAAAAATGTGAAAGTGTAGAACAGGTGCAGATATATCACCATAGCAAATCTGCATATAATCTTGGATAATGTTATGGTCCTATCCTCATTAAAGATGAAAGTCCTTTTGAACTTGTTCTTTATATATTTAACCAGTGTTCCAGCCATAACACTAAGAAACAACTCCACCTTTGGAGATTATCTGAAGTTCAGATGTGTTAACTTCATCTTCATATGCTTGAACACAAACACATTCTTCAGAATCTTAAATCTATGAAGAGTTTCATCAAGGTCTATGACCAAAAGAAATATGGAGGAGGGCATTTTTCAGGAGGACTTGGAGACATGAGCAACTTACATCAAATGCAGTAAATCAATATTAGCAAAGATGACACAGAATTAGTAAACTTACTGAGATACCATATACTGAGGAACTGCTCAACTGACTTCACATATGCAAGTAGGATTGTGTTTCTCAAAATATATTCCCTCATACTATATGGGAAACAGCTTTTAAAACTGAAAATGCCAAAGCAATTTGATATAAAGACATGCAGAAGAGAGGGGCTGCTGCTCCAAGAACTCCACTTACAATAGAAAGCATCCTTAAGGATGTTCACAACAGTCATATTTTTGGAACATTAACAATAATATAGGGTGCAGCAGCATAGCTTCCTTTTTTCAAAACTTAATAAAACCCATTGTATGAATCAGAATTTTTTTTTATAATGTAGGCGCATACTTAAAGTTTTGTTTCACGTAGTTTTGAAGATCAAATTAGGTAGGTGTTTTATTTGTTTTATCTGTTTTATTTGCTATGTACTGTATTGTTGTATTGTGTTGGGCTCCGGCCTGTTGTAAGCCGCATCGAATCCCTTGGGAGATGCTAGCGGGGTACAAATAAAGTTATAATAATAATAATAGTAGTAGGTGACGTCCCCCATTCTCCATACACTGAGTAAACCGATTTCTGGCGTTTGTCATGACTCTTGCCAGCATAGCAGGCGTTACGTTGGCAATTTCTTCCTGGATGTTGGTCTTAAAATCTTGTAGGGTCCTTGGACGGTTCACATAAACATGGGATTTCAAAAAACCCCATAGAAAAAAATCACAAGGGGCCAAATCTGGAGAGTGGGCCAGCCACTCCAAATCCCCCCTAATTGAGATGAGGCGCTCTGGGAAATTTTCCCTCAAAACAGCCGTCGATGCTCTTGAAGTGTGTGCAATTGCACCATCTTGTTGGAACCAAATGCCCCCTAAGTCCAACCCATCTAGCCGTGGGGGGAAAAAATCTTGTAACATGTTTACATACCGGTCCGAATTCACTGTCACTGCGACTTCATTTTCCTCAAAGAACCAGGGACCAGTAATTCCAGCTGAGGAAATTGCACACCACACTGTGATTTTAGGTGAATGCAAAGGCCTTTGATGCAATTCTCAAGGATTGTTGTCAGCCCAGTAGCACATGTTTTGTTTGTTGTCGGACCCACACAAATGAAAATGGGCTTCATCACTAAAAAAAACAATAGTGTCCTCTGAGAATTGAAGTCACATTCAGAAAGTTCCTGCACAATCGCCATCTTGTAAGGATTGAAATGAAGATCATCATGAAGAATTCTCCTCACAGAACGATCGGAAAGTCCAAGGACAGACACATGTTTGCGTGCAGAACGCCGTGGTGATCGCAACACTGAAGCTGTCACTACCTCAATGTTCTCAGGTGAGCTAATTGGCCGAGGGACTCCAGTTTTTTGTCTTGTCACACTTGCAGTTTGTCTGAATGTAACCCACGTAACAATTGATTTCCGGTCCGGGACAAGGGCCAATGGTGCTAAATTAAAGTGATTCCGAAAGGTGCACTGGGTTGCAATCACAAAACATCCGCTCGAAAAGTAGGCCTCAACGGCAAAAGCACGCTCCTCACTGTTCCAACTCATGATGGCGACTGAACTGTGTCAGGACAAAACTTTATACTCCTGCCTCTCAAATGAGACCACTAGCGCTCTGCTACATCTTCAACCGAGTGAATGGCGCGCATTTTTAAAAAGTTATGCTGCCGCACCCCGTATAATGCATGTGTGCACATACAAACTTTTTTTAAGTTCACTAATCATAAAAGCAATGCAATAAAGCAAACTTACAATCAATATTTCATTTTGAAATGATCAAAGAACCAACTCACATTATCATCAAGGTGTGCTGCAACACGGCAGTGTTTAGGATCAACATATGTCTTCTGCATTAAAGGAGGCTCCTAAATTCCAAAGAGATATTATTAACAGAAACGTAAAGGTGAAAAAGCAATTTACAAACTCACGGTTATAGACCTCAATTAAAACTTTGAATGGCAAATTTTAAATATTTTAAAAATATAACTAAATTAATAAAAATATTACATGTAAAATTGATGGATTATTAATATCTTGGCAGAAAGGCTAACTAGTCCTATATTTCAATTTGTAACACTGATCACTGACATACAGAAAAGCCCAAGTGTACTATATTTATTTATGCGAGAAGAAAGAAACCAACGTTTATTTAATCTCATATTTCTAAAATGTTCTGCTAGACTACCCTAGAACATAAAAGACTAATATTTTCAGATTTCATTTCAGTCCTTTAAAAAAAAGGACTACCATGTAATTCTACTTTCTACTTACGCTACAAGTGCATTTCATTAACATTCATAATGCCCTGTATTGGTACCTTATAATCTTATTGTTATACAATATAAACAAAGGAAGGAAGGAAAAGGATATGAGGGAAACTGGATTATTACATTTGGTTTGCAATTGGCATGCATCCTGCTTGAGCTTACTTTAACATTACATACTTGAAATATTTGTTTATTTTTTTTAAAGATGCATACATGTGTGATAGAGCAGAAGTTGGGTTAGCAATGAAAAGGCTAATGAAATAAGTATATCTTATTCAAGAGTAGGAAGGGGGAATTGATGAAAGCAAGGCTACAGGCAAAAGTGGAAAAAAATTGCTTCAGACATTTGCTCCCATCCAATTCACAAATGAACATACGGAGCATCACAAACGACAGAACTGTCCAATCTATATCTGTGCTGAAGTTTATACTTTAGGCCCTGAAAACAGAGGATTTCTTTAACACAGAACTAAATATGGCAGCTCTGGTATGGGCAAGGAATCATGAGAACTGAAGGCTCTGGCTTTCAACTGGATGTGAAGTGATGGGAGAGACGGTGAATTAAATCCAGGTCTTTTGGCAATTTAACTAAGGATTTCAAAGTGGTTTGAGAATGCACCACAGACTATATGGACTGCTCTGAACTTCTGAGATAACACACAGAAGTAAGACTGAACACACAAAGTATGCCTTTTCAGCTGATCCTAAATTAGAATTTACTATCTATCTTATGTTTTCTATGGATTTGAAAAAATTGACTCTGTAGAATGGCACAACTGTTAAGAGAGAAAGAAAAAAAACAGTAATGTGGATTGACCGTGGAGAAAATACTCAAGAATACTAAACATACAGCTTAAGGGAAGAAATATATATATTTATAACAGCAAATATTCTTCTTAAGAAACAGAAAATGCAGAGGAATCCCTACAGCCTAGATGGGCATTTCTTGTGGGAGGGGGCTCCGCACCACTCTCTGGCCTCCAGGACCTTCTGTGGTCCATATACTAAGCCCCCTCCTCCAATAAGCAAATCATCTTTAGCCATCAAAACCATCAGCAACTAAAAATCTACTTCTATTTTTGAGTTTGCAAGATGTGAGGTGGAGATGGGGTCTGTAAACCATTTTTCTTAACATTATATATTTCTGGAAGATGTTTACTGGAAGTCCCATTTGACAGTAAAATGCAAAGAAAACAGGGAAGCAATGCCATGAAAGACCAAATACTGGACAGAGCAGTCTTGAAAAGATTACAACTTGTAACCTGAGATTCAGACAGGACAGTGGAACTAATAGAATTTGAATCATGTCTGTGTCCTTTACATAAAGAAATACTTATATATATGTAATGGCATATGTGAGAACTTTTTGGTGTGCTGTAAGGACAAGTTGTCCCAAAGCAAATGTATATAAAATTTAATATTACATGTCATTGCCTACAAAGCTAACACGCAACTACTATCCCTAAATCCCTGCTTCCATCTCTCTCTCCCTTTTTCTAACCTTGCTTCCTCTTGCTTATCTGCATGAAGACAGATTTGTGAAGTTAGAGAGATTAACAACTAATAACAAAGACAAAAATGAATTAATAGACGATTATTTTCTTCCAGATAATATTGTAATATCCAAAAGAAAAGATAATAATACATAAATCTGAAGAATCAAAAAGTTTCTCTTTTCATTGTGGCTACCACAAGTATTCTCTTTCAAAATTATGGCTACAGAAAATAAATTGTACTTCTTCATTAAAACGAGATGGTTCAGATTTGTTGCTCCATCAATTGACATATAAAGTCATGTGCAATAGACAATATCCAAAGGATCAACAAGGACAGGACTTAGTGCTAAGTAAGATAGTCAACTTCATAATAGATTTTCTACGTCTGCTACTTTTTTGGAATAAATTTGGATAATGGATAGCATCTGCTATACTTTGAAGTCTGCTATTAATGTATTTTTATGCAAGACTGTTTGTTCTGTCTTTTCTTTTTAAAACAATTGGCCCAAAATGGAGTGTAGTATATGAAATGTCTTATTTCAATGCATTCTTACCTTGAAAAATGATTGCTTTATGTCTTGTCCCAATCTTTCTGATATTTTGCCCATGTTGTCTGACATTTTAGTCATCCCCTCTGTCAAGCTGTCAGGGAAGGACTTGACAGCATTTGAAACATTTCTCATAGAGTTACGCAGTGGGTTTACAAATGTGTCCATCTGAAGAGGAAAACATTTACCACGATTGCATAAATCTATGAGGATACGACTACAGTAATCCAGTAATGTGTGTTGAAAATGTCATACAGTTCGGAGAGCAGCAATACAAAGCCATTGGTACAAATCATTTTGGTTGTAAATTTCAAGCATCCATAAAGACGAATGTGGCTTCGACATGACATTTAGAACTCAAAGGAATGTCATCAACAGATCATTCCTTTTCCCGCACATGACTCAATCTGAAGACAGCAAAATCCTTATGGCAAAGATTTGCTTTTTAAACTTATGGTACTGTAAAAAACCACCACTGAAAAATAAACAAATGGGAACCCTTTACAGGAGCAAAAAAATCCTTTTATACAAAGGGAGGGGGGCTCCCTATACCACTGTTCTAGAGGTCTCATATGGAGTAAAGTGGGAAAATAAAAGAGGGAGGAGGAGAAGTAGTGATACCTAAACACTCCTCAGCCCTGTATATAAAATACTGAACATAAAGATGTGGATCGTAATGCAGGTCACTACTATTCTGTGAACATATTGTATTATTTTTTAAAAGGTAAAATGTTGTTCAATCAGTTCAAACGTTTTATCATTTTAAGCCAGGAAAGAACTGTAAGTTCCAAGAAACAGTGTAAGCACTGCTACTATGAATTAAGAAAAAGGTTTTGAAGCTTCTCCATTTACAAGATAATATTCCATACTTTGGAAGATCCAAATCAGAGCAGACAAGAAGGGAGCATGTCTAGAACTGAGCTGTCATTTACATCCCTTTAGCAACCAATAAAGTGGAAGGGACAGACTGTGTTATGAGATCAGAACATCAATAATCCACACTGAGCACTTTAACTAGAAAATCCATGCTGGTCTGGTCTCTTTGCTATACTTATCATATGCTATTCTACATTATATGTTTACTTAACTAATAACATGGGCAAGGGCTTGCTCTGTTCACAAACAGCTATATCCTATTTTTCTATGTTAATACAACATGTATTCTCTTTATTTTCACTTTGTATATGTAGTTGACAATATATGAACTTCTGAGATGATTAAAACTGATATTCTTCTGGGGTAGCCACCCAGCATTTATTAAAATGCCTAATTTTTTCACCTGTAGTTAATTCCCCTCAAATTAATTGTAAGTCAGAATATGGAAGCCCCTCTGCCTCAGCCAAAACTTAGGAAGGAGGGCTATTTTTCCAACTATAAGGTAATTTATTATAGTGGCAGCATCAAAATGAGCTGTTAATTGACTTATTTGGGAGCAACACAGAATGCAGTGGATGAAAGGAAGGGAAGCACATCCCTATATGCAAGTGTTTGCAAGTAAGTAAGCATAGAATATAGGTCAGACACATAGCAGGTTAGAAAATTGCATCAAGCCTATTCACACATATAAAGCCAGTCAATTATATTTCAGGAATGTGGGGTCCAGATCCACAATTGCCTGTGACTGTACATTGTTGTGCCACTTATTAGTAAACAGCAGCAATGTGAACACAGAGATGCTAAAGCTTGCATGTTTACGTGATTGCCACTTAATAATAACAGCTGTGATTTCCTGCATATTGAACCCCTGCAGATACAGCAGGTCTACTGTATAATTAAGTCTGGCTATTCTGGCATATGCTAAGATATTTTATTAAACTCTAATCAGTTTTCCTTAGCCTTTCATGAGGTTGGATGCTTGGTGCAGACATCATCTGTACCACATAGACATTTTTTGATTGGGATAATTTTTTGGGTGATTTTATAATTTTTTCTTTTGTTAGGAAACTTCGGCTGAAAAAGTTAAATCATCTATGTAACATTTGCTAAATATCTACATTACATTGGCCATTGAGGGTCTTCTGTAGTGTGTGTGTGTGTGTGTGGGGGGGGGGGGGTTGGATATGTATGTCTTTAAAGCCTAACATCTTTGTAAGACAGAGAGGTGACAATTTGTTTAAGGTGGCATCCTCAAGGATTTGAAAATCCTGAAAATTTCGAAAGAATGTTGGTATTTGCTTGCCAAGAGAAAAACTATATATTGTGAAATGACATATAAGTGAGCGGAAGGAAAAACATGCATCCATCGTGTCATAGTTAAAATTATATGCTGATTTGACTGCTTTTTTAAAAAAAAGAATGTAAGAACAACTGAATGGTTCAGTCCCCGAGCTATTACAGAAGCTTGAACAATGGTGGACACAAGTTTTAGCTCATTTTTTTTTGTTTAAGCGGTCAAATTAGCATTAATTTCTTAAAAACATATAATAGAAATCTATGCTTCGTTTATAATAAGGAATCATCAAGGCAAAATTGGCAACTGAGCATTTAAAATCTGCAAAGCAACCTATTTCAAGCACAATGGCTGAACAATCCGCTCTGACAAAGGGCTGTATTCAAAGGTTTTGCATTTAGTTCCTTTAGTTCTTTCATACAAAACAGATTCAAAGAGGACTCTTAAAGGGAGACATGCATTCTCTCTTTTGAGCAGGTGGATGGAAGTCATGAAGCATGTGGTGTCTGAAATGGGCAGAAGGTTTCAGGGTAAATAAAAGGAAAGGGAATAGTAATATCTTTCAAAATACTTTACACTTCAAGGCTGATTGTACTTTCTAAAACCTTTTGTATTGCAAGCAATCTGTTATGCAAATCTGGCTTCATTGACAATAAATATTTTCGTTTACTTCAAAAATTCTCATCTGCATACTGACTTTAAGCCATGAAATTATTTGCATACAGGATGAGCTTCCTCATCTGGAAATCAAAATTTTTCCCTAAACCCCAACTTTTTCAGACCCACTTCAATCTTTGGGGAAAGAGGGACAATTATATGTCAAACATTTGTTGAGTTTTTCCTTTAAGAAGCCCTAATAGGGAAGAAGATGAGAAGGAAGGAACTCTATTTACACAAGGCCCCTCTAAAGAGCAGACCTCTCAGATGCATCCAAGCTCATCTTCCACCCAGCCAATGGCAAGAGTGAAAATGAGCATGGGGCAACACCACCAGTATCCAGTCAAGAGAGAGAATTACTAAAAAAACTTGGGAAGATTTCCCTCTCATTTCCTGAATACTTTGGTAGAAGGGTGGAAAGTGTACTCACAGGCAGGGAAGAATCTGGGAAACCTGTTTTTTATACAAGCTCTGTGTAAATGGAATCTTCCCCTATTCTTTTCTTTCCCCTTCAGGATTTATTGAGAGAAAACTAGCACGCACCTTCTTTTGCCCATTTTTCACTCACAATGAATATGCAATTACAGGCATTCCAAAGTTCCCACCCTTCAAATTCCCCAAACCTTTTGGCCCCAAAATATTCAGATAGGGGAGACTCACTTATTATAAACTTGTGTTTCAGTTGCAACTGATTAAGACACAATTTATAGTATCACATCTATTCTTGAGGCCAGCTAGACAACAGAAGCCAGTCTTACCTTCCGAGCAAAATCTCCCTTTCCTTTACTGTACGCCTTATTTTCTAAGAAGTCATACGCATAATGTGCTAAAGCAGGATAAGCTTTCATCACCTCAGGAGCTAGCAAAAGCTAAGAAGAGATGCAAGTAATTTAATTTAACATTTAGAAAGATTACTATTTTAGGTTCAATGATAAAATATATGTAACACCAATATGTAACATGCAAGATGCTTTTCAACTAATTTTGATTGTTGCCATTCCAGTTATTACCGACAATCCTTGTATTTTAATTTCTTCCAAATGCTAGAAAAATGCTATGTTTTTTTTTTAAAAATCACCAAATCATTCCTAAATATTCCAAGGAATACTGACTCCAAATGATAAATTGTGTATTATATATTTGGTAGCAAACAATTAGGTAAACAATTTTTAAAGTTAGAAACTGCAGCTGTATATAATGTAAGAAATCTAATCGAATATACAATACTCAGCCATGCTACATATATTACCAGAAGAATTGTTTCAATGATATCCTACCATTCAACTTTTCATTTCCTACCTGAGTAGAACTCAAGGCAGCTAATATTTAAATAATGTAATTAGCAAGTATTTATTGAGCAATAATTAAAATGACTGAACCTGCCCTCCTCCTTCCCAACATAAACAGTCTGGCAAAAATTAAAACATCATTTTGCTGAAAATATTGTGGCAACATGTGACCACATTTCTTTACCTACTACAAAGGCAAAAAACATAAGTGAGCCTTCCACAAAGAGAAACCCACACCTAAGGAGCAGCTAGAAAAAATATTTCCTAAATAATCCAAGTATTTCCTTCACATTTTAGAATCAGGAGATGATGATATGAAGCATACAGTCAAAGCAATTTGAGGATATATAGCTAATATTTGATGTGTGCCAGGAAGCACACCTGTAATTAAAGCAGATGTCCTAAAATGTATACACACAGCATCAACTATAAACATCTGCTTTATTCTGGACAAAATGAAACTTCTGAAGACTATTCAAAGGGAATCCCACAAAGAGGGCACTGTAGCAGCCACGTGTCCCTTTAGTTAGGTTCATTTTTTTCTGAACAAAGGCAGCCTTGCCTATTTCTGCTAACTGAACAAAGGCAGGTTCAGTACGTCATACAATACACTATTTGTTTCCTCTCAACTGAAATTGTGAAACCAAACCAGATCTTGATAGAAGAAATATATACTCTAATTCCCAACATATTAATAATTTAGATGATAAATATTTATACCCCCCCCCCCCAATCTATGCTTTATATTTTATGTATAGCCAAGGTATACTTAAAACAATTCAGGCACCGAAACTTTACTGAGCCACGAATGTCATTTTCCAAGAGATGGCAGGCTTGAGGATAGGATAAAGGGATGAGTAAATCAGACAAAAATGTGAACATGTCAACATACCTGCAAGTATGCATTTAAATCCTTCTTCCTTTTTTCCAAAAAATCTCTATCCATGTTATTGAATGTTTTTTTACCGGGCAGCTTCAATAAATTTGCTAAATTTTCAAACTAGAGAAAACAAATCAAATTGTTATTTTTTTTAAAAAAATCTATACAATAGACCATTTATTTAGTTAATAGTTTTAGTACTTATTACAAAAGTAACATTATCCATTTTTTTTTACTTACAGTTGAAATAGAAATCCCCTATTTCAATAATTGAGTTCAATACCCACAATACAACCTAGGAGACTGGATCTCTGTATCCCTCTTCACTATCTATCTTATAGTCCAACTTTTGCAGAAGCATGTTCTTCTCCAATGTATGGGAAAAAAACTTTTTTTCTACACAGAGGAACGTTTCAGTGAAACGAAATGCTCTAAAAACCTTTAGTTCTATTTCGTTTGTTAGAAGTTGCCTGCAATATCAAATATTAAGCAGAAAGGAGCCTAATTGTAGTGATTCATCTGAACTAGTAATGTATCCAAAGTTTAGTTCTGGAGAGCATGGATGAATGTAACCTTTTTGGACTAGTTATAATCCAAACCCTAATTCATGTTCACCTTTTTAATTAATTTAGCCTATGTGTACTATTATCAGGAACATAGAGCTGGACTCAATTTCAAAAGCATTCAAATCAGTTCATTTCAGGCCAAGCACATAGGTTAGCCATCACCAACTAAAATCAATGGAAGAATGTGCTCTGCTTATTCCACACACAATAATTAGAGGTAGATCTTACCTGTTCAGTGATCCTCATGTGGAAGTCATGGAAGTCACTGTAGCGACGATAGGTCTTCCATACTTCATCTCCATTTGGAGTTCGACGGCGAACAGTAATAGCATATAGCGCATATGTCTTTCCATGGTCATTACAAACTCCTGCCACAGTATATGGGTCATAATCAGCACAGACTAGCAATTTAAAACAAAAAAATGAAGAGGAAAAAAGAGACAGAGAGAGAGAGGAGGAAGACGAAAGGGCAGAGGAAACATGAAATGAAAAGGTGTTGGAAATGGAAGAAGAATGAAGACAAAATGGGTACACAAATGGCCTTTTCTATGTAAACCTTTTTTGGATTATATATCTCCAAAATGCATCAGCTTTTTCTAGTCCAGCCGCTGAACAAAACTATGCTTGTAAGAAATCCTTATTAAGAAAGAAATGTATATTATAGCTAATTAAAAGTTGGCTTGGGATAATGATGATGATGATGTTAGCTTAGATATGCGTACTTGTTGGGGGCAGATGCTTCTGGCAGATTTGAAATTCTATTAATTTTTAAAGAAAGAGCCATGCTACTCTTTTGCAGCATAAAAAAGGAGCAGGGGCTATTGCTGTCATATGATGGCATATATCACATTGGAATGACTCAAGAATGATGGATCTTGTGCTCCTCCTTGACAGTGCTGGGCAAGTGGCCATTTTAATGCTGTCTTTCTCCAAGCTCAGAACCAAAACATTAGGATGAGGATCCCATTCAATGTCCTGCTTTATGAATTCAGTTCTTTAAAAATATCTTTCCAAATTACAAAGGAAAGCTCTAAATGTAATACATAAAAATAGCTGTTAGAGATAAGTGAAGATGAGTGTTTGATGTGAAAAAATTATATTCTGATGTAGCACATGTAATGCAATGCAGTTTAATGATGATGGTTCTATAGAACAAGTATAATGTTCAATCATGTACAAGTTTTAGGAACTTAAGCACAACTACACAATCTTGTGCTGGATTACAAATAATTGTAAAACCAGTTCCATTAGTGCAAGGGGTTTGAGTCCGCCTCGGGGTGAGAAAAGCGGTATACAAATACTGTAAATACATTTTATATAGAGGATACTTCCTTTCCTAAAAAAAGGATCTCATCAATGCCACCTAACAAACTACTTTTGAGTCTAAGTAAAATTGGGGGGGGGGGGGGGGGTCAAATTCTAATTATCCAGGCCAAGCTTTGTCATGAGCCTATCCAACTTCTGGGCCCCCTGGTGCTCCATGCAGTCATGCCGGCCACATGACCTAGGAGGTGTCTATGGACAACGCTGGCATTACCCCACAGAGTCAGATATGACTAGTCTTAATGTCAGGGAAATCTTTGCCTTTACCTTTATCCAACTCTTTGCTTTTGGGAGTCTGTTAATTCAGGCCAATAAATACCATGAAGGGAAAATAGTTTCATATGTAAAAATGAATGACTACAGTGTTAATCACGGTTTGGAAAACTAACAAAGGTTTATGAAGAAAACTGAATGAAGCATGAAAGGAGTATGTCCAAATTATAGAAGAGAAAAAGAAAGTGTCACTACTAAACTCACCAGTATCTGAAATATACGCATGCAGTTGTATGGACTCATCAGTAGGCACATTTGTAAGGTCGTCCAATGACTAGAAGAAAAATACTCAATGTTATACATTCTAGTATAGAAAAGAAAGATGGAGTACATTCTAAAATACTGGAAGTCACAGATCAAGTCATGGCCTTTCTCCTTTTAGAGCAGTCAATTATTTAATTTATCAAATTTGGAGCCCCTGGAGGTGCAAAGGATTAAAACCTTATGCCAGCAGGACTGCTGACCAAAAGGTTGGTGGTTCGAATCCAAGGAGCGGGGTGAGCTTCCATCTGTCAGCTCCATCTTCTCGTGTGAGGACATGAGAGAAGCCTCCCACAGGATGGTAAAACATCTTGGGGTTCCCTGGGCAACGTCCTTGCAGACAACCAATTCTCTCGCACCAGAAGTAGCTTGAAGTTTCTCATGTCACTCTTGACATGAAAAAGAAGTTATCAAATGACACAATCATACCCATGTTTCTTCTTGCTGGGGAAAAATGAATGGGGGGGGGTGTCTCTAACCAACAGCATGGGAAAATCATTCAACCCCTTTTCCACAGGATAACAGCTTTGATCCAAATTACTGCAATCAACAGTTGTTATTTAGTTCATAAAAAACCAACAAACATTGCTGATCTTATTTATGCATCACATCTAGCATGACATTATATCCAAAGGTCTACTCTAAATAGTACATCAGGCATAATTTAACAAATATGCTAGGCTTTTAAGAGTGAACAAGGCTACTATCACAGACCAGGTTAGTTTAGTATAATTTGTCAGTAAGAATGCTGAAAACTTACCAAGTTAATGCTTCCTGTAGGAGAACCATTAAATGATTCTGCCAAGAGAGGGAAGATTGTTATTTAAAATGCAGAAGTTTGACCAGCTTGATATGTTTAAAGCAAACAAACCACTTAATTAGAAAGTCTAAATTAATACTGATACCTTAATATTTATGCAAAGTATTATTAATACTGCCTACCCAGACAGTTTTAATGGTGAATTTTAAACTTGCATCTCACGTTTAATGTCTGTTTTGTGTAATTTCATATGTATCTTGTGGAAATATGTTTTAATATGTTTATTTTAAGGAATGTTTTTAGCTAAATGTGTGTTTTACAATGTTGTAACTCACCTCAAGCTGTGATGAGAGGTGGGCAAGAAATAAATAAATAAATAAATAAATAAATAAATAATAATTATTATTAATACACTCTGCCCAACTTAGTTTTGGGTTTTATTTTTCCCCCAATGCAAAATGTTTTAAGAGGGAATAGAGTCCATTCCATCCCATCCCTAGCCAAACTACAACAATCTGTTTCATTATTTCAATTCTATGCAACATTTTTCAACGCAACCAAGGATTGTGAAGACACCAACTTTTTCACTAGTAAAATGACAGCAGCATGTGTTTTCTTCCCAAAATCTAGGCAGTAAAGTGAAGAGGAGATCTATATCTACATGTTGGTGGCACTACTCTTGATACTGACAGAGGATCAGATCAACTGAATCTATTTGTGAGGAAATGTACAGAATCACTTGAAATGGCACAAAAGAGCCGCATGGTCGAAGTAAACTTTTAAAGGTCTGAAACTGGTGGACACAAGCGAAGAGGGAACACCTATATACGTAATATGTAGAATTAAGAAAAGATAGATTTGTGGTTTTACATTTAAAGTGGTGTTAAAAGAAGAATGAGACTTTTTTAAAAAAGCGTAAAGCATCTGTATAGCGAGATGAATGATTGACGACCTGGCCTTAATATACATGGAATGGTCTATGGAAATGACTTTTAATTCTGTTTTTAATGATGCTGCTTAATGTTTTGTCTTTTATGTTATTGCTTTATATAATTGCTTGTGTTATACTATTTAATTGTGTTGCTTAATTTATTGTATTGTATGGCATTGAATATTTGCCTATCTTTGTTGTAAGCCACCCTGAGTCCCAATGGGGAGCTAGGGTGGGATATAAATACAGTTTGTTGTTGTTGTTGTTGTTTTATTTCATAAGTTTTTTTTAAAAAATGGATTAAATGTCCATTGATTTAAGACATGTATATTAAATTTCATGGTACCAGAAAAATCCAAACTACAGTCATTATACTGCAAGTTACCAAAAATTATTTTAGAACAAACAGGAACAATGTATAGAGTTAAATTCACCATTAACTAGTGTTGTAAATCTGCCCTTTAAAACTTAAATGTGATGGCATTAATAATATATGACGCTAGGAGGCAGCAAAGTACCTTTCACTACTACAGATCTAGAAATAGATATATATATAACCAAACTACACTTTAGAATGGCTCATCATCACAGTCATAGCAGCAATCTATCCATATAAAATAAGAGTAAAATATTTCCATTTTTTTTAAGATTTTGAAAGTAAGCAACTTCAATTGCTATTACCTAAGCACATTCAAATCTAGTTTCATACAACAGAACTTGGATTAATATTCTATTTCAAAAAAGGGCAATTTGTGACATAATACAAAATCACACTAGAAACACAGTTTGATTGAGGATACAGGAAGTCCGAACTTACGGACAAGAGTGTGTAGGTTTGTCTTCAGCTGAAATTTTATGTAAGTTAGAACAAGTACATTCCAGCACACACACTATCTATCTATCTATCTATCTATCTATCTATCTATCTATCTATCTATCTATCTATCTATCGAGGCTTTGGATAGCATAGGGAACGGTTAACACCCTGTTGCTATCTGTGCCTCTGTTCAGAAGATTTTGCCTCACCTTATGTCCCTGTGATCATTGGATTTTGAAAAAAAAATAGCTTGTTGTAGGAAAAAGGATTGGTGATAAAGCTTCAGTAGAGACACCTTTTCCCATGATAACTCTTTTAGGAATGAATTTTCCTTCCGAGGGGTCGATTTCTCTCATGTCCTGTTGTCTCACCCTCTGTTCTTAGCTATGAGTTGTTTGTAAATTGGATGTTTGTCACCTGGGGAATGCTTGTGCTTAGTATCTCATGGCTTCTTGCTACAAACCTAGAAGGCTATGTTTCTGTTGTTATCGAATCACCTTCGATAAGGACAGAATTTTCCAAAAGGAAAAAAAGTATGCATTTTATGCTTACAGAATTAACTCCTATTGATCAATAAAGATTGATTTAAAGTTTTGAATTCAATTTGAAAGATCTATATCACTACAGAATGCAAACAAGTATCTTAAAAATAGAGACATGTTGTCCATTAATACAATTGTAAAGTTTCTTGTATTTTAAGATTTTGCATCTCTTTAAAAAACATTTTGTATAGACTGTCTCCTTGTTATTAGAGCCAAGGAAGTAATTAAATGGGATGGAGTTAAACATTGCCTTCTGTCTCAATTTATTGGATAACAAAAAATGTAACAAAATTGCGAGAAAACCAGAAATTATATCTAAATTCAAAATTCGCATGGTAAGTTAGTTATCTGCTACCAAATAATGACACCATAAATAAGTAGGATGTTTATTAAAGTTTTGTGTAACTTACCTCCCTCACCATCATCTGATCCCCTGAAACTAGGATCCTTTAGCATATCTAGTTCAGCAAGCATTCGCACATAAAGTGCATGTTGTTTGAATGATGGATAGAATCTTTCATCCCGCAGCATCAGATCATATACCTTAAGGAGTAACAGTTCAATATTATGTAAACTTTATCATCAATCCAATTTAATTGTGTAATATATTTTGAAATGTTGATAACTGTACCATTTAAGACCCTACTGTTCTGAACAGTTATGGTTTACCAATCCTGATCTCAACTAAAGATATGGCCTGAGATCCTTGTATGGGAAAGGGCACAATTATTAGGAAACACATTTAGATTTCCACCAATGCATAAAAATCAAACAATTTTTCCCCTTAACAATCTTGAATTTTAATCCAAAATCAGCAAAACTAGTTCTTGAGAAACAACTGTTGCCCTTCTTTATAAAAGTGAGTGTGAATGCAACATACCTTTCTCTGAATCTCATCAAAGATTTCAGGTGTTGGATCTTCATTATTCAGTTTTTCTGCCAGCTTTGCTACTAAGTTGTCATCAATATTGACTCTCGGAGATGCCTGCCATAGAGAGCTAAATAAACTTGTGCACTATTTTACCTCCAAGTACAAAAGTTATAAAACAGCACTTGGGCTCATTATTTTTGTTTCACCATTTAAAAGAAAATTGGTATTTACAAGTTGAACACAAATATGAATTTTAGAAACTCTACACACTATGCTTCTTTCTTACAGAATAAAGAAAAAGTAAAGCAAAGCAACTGAGGATTTTGCCACAAATCAATCCAAATTGAACTGAACAGATGAAATGAAGAATATGCATGAAAATCAAAGTTTTCTAAAATACAATGGAAAAAGGACCAGATCTTTTATTGTTTTATTCCCAGCAAATCTTTTTATGCCAGAAACATCAGCCTGACAATGAGCAACTTTAAGATTCCTATGCCAGCAATGATTAGGCTATGAGATATTTCTATACAAAAATGGAAATATATAACATTTCTACAGAAAAAAAGCCCTAACCACCTGACTCTAGTTTGGTATTTTATATGGTTAGGGCTTCTAGGAGAATATACAAGATTTTCAATAGGTATGATACACTTGAATAGTATTTCTTCTCCTTCTTCTCCTTCTCACCATCATCATCATTCTTTATACCTCGCCTTTCTCCCTCCTCAAGGCGACTAACAATCCACACTAGACAAGTTTTTAAAAAGTAATTAAATAGAACAGTGTGGTAAAAACAGAATTAAAATACAGCAAATACACTAAAATGGCCTTTAATGACTGAAAATGTTTTATATTGTGTTATGCTATTGTTGTTTTATTTTGCTTCTTGTTATTTTTATGTTGCTCAGGCTTGTTCCCAGGTAAGCTGCCTAGAGTCCCTTCAGGGAGATGAGGCAGGGTACAAAAATAAAGTTATTATTATTATTTAAAACTCATCTCATTCCACAGCTCTTATTCAGAAGGTTAAATATTACAACATTACAAATACCTAAATATTACAATAACCTAATAGATTCTAGATAATGATCCACTTTTCCCTGTTTATAAAACTCTTCTTTTGTAACCTACAATGAAATATATGCTCCTGATCCTATACAGCTGACTTTTCCTTTGAACCTATTCATACCTTCTCTGACAAATACTGATCATAAATTCCAACTGCAGCTGTTCTTAAAAGGCCTTTGGTTTGTGCTGTCTGATGCATTCCATCTTTCTGAAGACTGAACAACACTTCCAGCTGTTTCTGCGCTGTAACCCTGTATCCTTCTACTGTCATCCAGAAAAAAAGATGTGCTTGGCCTCCCATCTGCTGCATGTAATCTACAAAACAAAATAAATCCAATCATATTATTAGAAAAATATATAACTGTTTGAGAGTTGTAAAAGCTATATTAGTAGAATGGTACTGCTGCTAATTGAAAATCAGCGCTGTATTACAATTTATAAATTACTCATGTGTGAGATACAGGAATGTAGAGTACCCGATTTAAGACTCAAGGATGTGTTGCACAGCTATAAAGTTTTAGATTTATTATTGAGACAATTTTGAACAGTAGCAAACAAACAGAAATTCATCAACAAAAAATTGTCATGGTGATCTGAATCTCAACCCAGCCTAATAAGAGATGTTACTTTTTAACTGGAAGAAAGTACAGGAAAGTCTGTCTGAGACTATTAAATATGAAACATTCCCAGTACATGCTGTCATTTGGGGGGGGGGGGGGAATTCTCAAACCATGCAGTGCAAAGAGTTGGAAATTATAATTTGTTTCAAGTCAAGGAAACTGGATCCTAAATATAGAGCTCGTGGTGTTAAGATGAAGATTTGTTACACACGATAACCTCAAACTCATGGGAATAAAGAGAAAGCTGGCAGATACCGATATATTCTGCTCAATATACCATCATTTATAATGTAGTAAAAAATGAATGTTTGTCCCCAGATGTTTGGCCTTCAACTCCAAGAAATCCTAACAACTGATAAACTGGCTGGGATTTCTGGGAGCTGTAGGCCAAAACACCTGGGGACCCACAAGTTGAGAACCACTGTATTTAGCAAGTTTCCAGATGAGACTTGCCCTGTTGTATGAAGAAATAGGCAATTGTGTTGGTACTTGGCCTTGTAGAACTTGCATTTGCTGATCTCTTAACTTTCTCCTCCAACAAATGTCATACTTGCTACTATAGCTGTGCTGCTCTGATGGCAGAAGTTAAATATAGCACTATTTAACATGAGAAAGCAAGTTGGACTCAAACAGACCACTAAAGATCTACCTGATAAGTGTTCTCCTCAAATTAAAAGTTTGTAATGAAGATTTGGGATATTTGTGGAGCTTGTTTCCAAAATGTACCAAATTCATCTGAATAAAATTTCATAGGAATCGGAAGGGAGGTGGAGTGTTGAAGATACATAAAATGCAATTTTCCAAACATGATTGGATACATTTGATAGTTTCCATCTTTACAGAATATTCAACTCCTAACTAACAATGTGCTGTCTGTCACCTGCAACTCATTTTTCCATTTATTATTTTTTTGGATTAAGTACCTTTTGGAAACAAGATACATAGGCTCTTGTGTATTTTTAAAAACTGGCAAGAGTGTTTATATTGAATAAAGCCTTATTTTCAAATTTTGAGCAATCATATTTATGAGGTTTTGCTTCAACATATTTATTGCTTTTAACACATCAGTGCATCTTGTGTCTATCCAGTCTTTCTCGGTTGTTTTGAGGAAAAGGAAATAATCTACAGACTTGTATAAAAAGACTATAATAAACTTAATGGAGCTGTTGATGACACAATTAAATCAGTATACAGTATGGGAAGCAGAAATGTATGGCCCTTCTCTTCCTCCTCGAGCTTTTGGGTGAAACGGGGCTTAACAGTTCTATTATACTGATGTCTGTATGAATGGCATTTTATATAAAATACCAACTAAATCACAATAAACCCATAACATTTCTAACTTGTAAAACAATTCCAGATTATAATCATGAAGACAAAAATTACCCATGGGTAATGGAGAAATTGTTTTCTCTTTTCCAAATAACAAAGACATATCCCTTCCCTAAATTCTTGTACCTTCTTAAACAATCTTGGAGTTATTGATGGCTACAATATGGGCTCTTGAAATTTCTGGTAAGAGAAGTTAAGACTTGTTCTGTCCTGCTGTCTTTCTACAGCAGGCAAAGATCATTTAATATAGACAGGACTTTGGGAACAGCATGTGGCAGAAAGACAAATGGATGGGTATTACTGTATATACTCTAGTATAAGCCGACCAGAATATAAGCTGAGGCACCTAATTTTACCCCCCAAAACAGGGAAAATTATTGGCTCGAGTATAAGCTGAGGGTGGGAAATGCAGCAGCTACTGGTCAATTTCAAAATGAAAATAGATATCAGTAAAATTACATTAATTGAGGCATCTGTAGGTTCAATGTTTTTGAATATTTACAAAAAACTGTAATTTAAGACAAGACTGTCCAACTGTGATGAAATCATTATTCTCACCTTCTTCAATGTAAATGTGCTTATGTATCCTTCCAATAATAATAGAGTAAAATAATAAATGTAATAAAATAATAATAGAATAAAATAATGGAAATGTAATAATAAAAGTAGTAATAGAGTAAAATAATAAATGTAAATAATAAATGTAATAATAACAATAAACTAAAATATAGAGTAAAATTATATATGTAATAAAAATAATAATAACAGAGTAAAATAATAAATAACCTTGACTCGAGTATAAGCCGAGGGAGACTTTTTCAGCCTTTCATTGTTGTGTTTTTAAGCTACAGCTTCAATTGTAATACCTTTATTCATTTTATGTAATTGTACAATTTTATTGTTGACCACTTTTAACCCTGTTCATGGGAGTAAAGTAGGCAAAAGCAGGTTTGTTGTTACTCGGCCTTGTGGAAAGTGTATTATTTACTCTTCAAATACATGAATTGTGTTGAGTTAGACAAAGTCCTAAATAATTTCTCCTTTTGTCATTTGAATTCATAAATATGTATAGTCTCTCCAGAAACTCCAAACACGAAATTGTTTCTTACAATACCAAGCACATCAATCAATTAAAAAGTGAGGGGAAAAATATGAAACACACAAAAACAGCATTTGTATTTATTGTGCTCTTACCCATAAAAAATTGTAGTGCAACATTATTTACTAGAATGATGTCCAGAGGGACTGTGCAAAGTTTTCCAAAGTTTGCAGCCAGTTTCACAGCATCTATTTCCTGGATTTAAACAATGGTACAGATATATAATCCCAACAGGAACATGATTTTAGCAGCAACATGTATACATTTGTTTGCTTAATATTTCAGCAACATTTTCACAAGTACAAGTGATCTATATCAATAACTAAACTGACAAGAATGCTTCTTGCCAAAAGATTTTAGGTAAAATGGGGAAACCAAATCAAACCATGTAATTTTCTATTTTTATGGATACAGATATTTTCTTCTCATATTTGAGAACAAGAAAAAGGATGTTTTCTCTTTTTTAAGGAGAAGGGTATTTTATGTTGGTCATTGGGAAGATTCTGAAACGGCAAAACTGATTTTCGCACAAATTGCATCAACTGATCAAATTTCATGGCTAAACTATTAAGCAAGGTCATTTGAAAATCACAAGTACCGGATGGACTGTCTACATCTTTTTGATAAATCAGAAAGCTTGCTATATTCATGCTTTGATTTGTAAAGGAAAAGGATTTTGCATAAATTGCAAAGATTTTTAATAAAAAGGGAGGTTGTCCTCTCATTTCTGAGCTGGAGATAAGAAATCTCCTAAAAGATAATAAATGGAATGACAAGTAATTCTATAGAAAGACGCTATGTTGTCAAGAATTTTGGAAGATTTCTTTTTCCCCCATCATATTTACATTTTCTTGTTTGATAAACAATATTAACCAATGGATTTAGTTGATTGGGGATGTCATTAAGACTAAAGAATGCCAAAAATGCACAAAGAATAGCACAGTCCTGATACAATATCAGACTGATATATAACCAATTATATCTTAGTATAAGAAAGTATTTCCTAATCCATTTAGATCACATTCATCAAGCCTATGGAGTTTCATGGTTATCTGCATGTTTATATAATTAGTATATATACAGTAAGTTTGAGTGAACAAGGATGCAATACATTATATTTCCCGTTACGTGATGTATAAAATACTGTACATTGTTACAGATGAGCCTAAATATATTTTTAGTTCCAACATGTTCCAGTTGAGAAATCACTTACTTTTCCTGACTGCAGCCTCAGTATTCTCGAATCACATACTTTCTTCACAAATAATAAACTATTTATTTGATTTTTAATAGTGTTGATATCTGGGGAAAAAAACACTAAAATGTTAAACCAGAAAAGACAGGAATAATTCAATTAGATTTCTGGATTGCTGCTAAGTACTAATTATGGGGGAAAAGATACACCAACAGACATTGAAAAATAATTTTTGTTGTATTGTTGTTAGTTGCCTTCAAGTCAAACTCAAACCATGGTGACCCTATGAAAAAGATATATCCAAGACATTCTGTCATCAACAGCCCTGTTCAGGTGTTGCAGCACAATGTTTTCCAGGTAATTAACCTGAGATCACAGAAGGACATGGATTTGAAAGGTTTCTTTGATAACTGAGATGCCCAACTCAAGGCTCCTGTGAAATATAGATCCAATCATAGGTGGGTGTACATTTTTATACACCCTTAGAAAACAAGGAGGCTTGCAGATTTTGGAAATACCAGGAGGATGCCAACAGTTAGCACTCAATTTAAATCTGTCTGATAAAGAAGCTATGAAGTGCAACACATGGCTTACACATAATGAAGTGGCAGCTGCAGAGATACTGGCACTTAAGAAAATTTGTTTCACTTATAAGAGTATAAACATTGAGTAGAAGGTTTATGCATTGCTTCAAACACAAGCCTGCCAGAATCCACTGGAGAAATTATAGGAAGATCCTCCAAGCAGGCAACTTGAGAGTCATGCCTCACCTTTGCCTTGTGAACGGTGGAAAAATCAGGGTGAAGTGGCAGCTGCAGGATTCTCCTTGGGATAGGTGGATCAGAGTGGTGAGCCAAGGCAAGCTGGTCAGGGAGTGATCAGAATGCATCTCATTCTGTCCTGATGAATTTCAGTGATCACACTTATGACAAGGGGAACGGAAGGAAAAGCATACAAAACAAACCCACCCCGACAGGAAACGAACACACTGCTAAGCAATTCCATTTTTTCACAGTGTTCTCAGTAACAAGGGTGCTATAAAATCCTGTATCTTCTGAACAGCTCATGTATTCTTTTATGAGAATGTTGTAAATTTTATTCTTGAGATTAGTAACATTAAAGTTTCGGTAACTTCCTCTGATTGTTGATGTGATTTTGTTTTTGTATGCCAATAAAGGCTGTATGTGTGTGTCTTGGCAGGAGTTACACTTTAAAAATCTACCTGTTCCAATTTACAAACGAATTCAACTTAAGAACAAACCTACTGAACATATCTTGTTCATAACTTGGGAACTGTCTGTACCCCCATCCATCCAATTGTTTCTTGAGATCTAGACAAAATGGCAAAAATAACTTCCTAATGCTGGTAAAAAAGACTCTCCCACAATGGGCTCTGGAACAGAATATCTTCCACTGCTTCTAGGATGCCACAAAGAAGTGTATGAATAATGTGATCCACTTCCTGAAGATTTAGCAAAGTGCCCAAATGTAGCTCCATTCATGATAGAACAAGTTCAGGGTTGGAAAACTTTGTCCCATTTAAGACATTCTCATTCCTTGCTAAATCGATTACAGGGATGAAGTTTCCCTGGGGATTCTCTCAGAAGACCTGTGAGGTAGAGAAGGATGTCTGATTTTGTCTGGCTTGTTCACTCAGGTAGAAACCACCATGGTGATGCTGGAAATCAAATGAACTACCTTGCCTTTTCTTCGAATGTCTGGAAGGGCTTTTTGACTGCCAGCATCTCAAGAGCATTGCTGTCAAGAGGGCTTTCCATTGGGGATCAGTGGCCCCTGACCATCAGTCCTGCAGAATGTGTATTCCAGGTCTCTAGAGACAGGTCAGTTGTGACAATTACCAATGGAAAAAGGAAATACATCTAATACTGGACATTCCTGGAATCCATCGAGTATATTTATAATTATTTCATGTAATTGTGTATTTTATTGCTGTTTTTATATTGTATTAGCATCAAATTGTTGTCTGCTGTTAGCCGCCTTGAGTCCCTCTTCGGAGGTCGAGAATAGGATGGGATATAAATGTTCTAAATAAATAAATAAAATAAATCCACCACCTTAGGGAATGGTGTACTCTCCATGTAATTATCAGTCTTTAATAGCGTGAATCTGTGGGAGGGTCCAAGCATGGCAGGAATCAAGCCTGCAAAGGTCTCATGCTGAATGTCTCTGGAATACATAGGTCAATTTTGATTACACCAAAGGATGGTCCCTGCAGAAAGGGAGCTTGGTTTCAAGAGTCTAACAGGGCCCCAATAAATCACAAACCAATTGCCCTTCTGTATCAGGGAAAGGATAAAGCTGAGAGGGACCAGTCTGAAACATCTGGACTGTATATAAAAGTTGGCCCCTCAAAGGTCCAGAATGGAAGACAGTTCTCCGTTGTGCTAAGATAGGATGAATAGCAGAAGAACTTCCAATACAGATAAGAGCTGCGAACAGGCTCAAAGGCTTCTTGGAGCAACAGAGTCTTCCCCTCTTCTTTCAGAATGTGTGAAGAAAGTGTAGCATGAAAAGTCCCACTGGGGATGTTTTTCAGAATGAATTTAGGGGATGGAGCCTGTCTTTGAAAGGTAGGCGGTAGGATGATGGATGAATGAATTGACACAAAGTTATTGTTCTCTGAAAAGTCAAAAAGGCAGCTTACTCTTAGGGCTTTTTTCAAAATTGCTGCCTGTACCAACTCTTCCTCAAGGAGGAGATAAGCAAGGCTGCAGTCAAATGGCACAAGTGCCTTGCAGAGCAAAACTCTTGGAGGCTTATCTCACTCCCCATTGCAACCCGTTCCCCAGAGGAAGAGCATCCAAATTAGGTGGCACATTCCTTTGCTGTTTCAAGCATGAAGTGCTGAGAACATAGCAGGAAAGCTCACTGAGTCACCTATCTCCTGGCTTGGCAACAGAGATTAGAGAGAAGTGGTACCAACAGAAGGAACAACATCGGGTGAAAAAGAAGATGTGGAGAAGATGTGGCTCTGAGTTTTCAAGACCTGAGCAAGGCTGTTGATGATAAGTTGAACTGAAGGTCTCCTCTAAAGAGTCATCATAAGTCCAAGTCAACAACAAATCTCTAGGCACCATTTGGGAATACCCCAACTTTTTTTTTGCAGGAGTGGGAGTGCAGCCCCTAAAGTTTTCCTAGCCTCCCAATTGCCCACCTCTGTTCTAAACACTAAACAAATTATGGTATAATAACAATTTAAACCTGAAAATGCAAGTACCAACCATCTCCAGCTGTATCCAAGGATCGAAGATACTGTAGTTCTTCTGCCGCTTTATCTCTTACTGCTTCCAACTCCCCTATTTTGTCACTTACTTTAACAATGTTCATAAAGGCCTCATAGTTGCAAATTGAATCACGAATCTATAATATATGAGGAAGAGACAATGCTAAGAAAAAATATCTTATGTTTTCCAGACATGATTTTAATATACAACATGTAACAGTTTTGCAAGAACATTTTATTTGTCAAGCAATTGTTTTTAACTATTAACTTCCTTGCAGAATCAAACATAATTATTTTCCTATTATCAACATACTTATTCCCTAATGGCAAAGACAATAAAATGTATATGTCTTATTACTGGAAAAATATATAACATTAATTCCTAAAGATAGCTAAAAAAAGTACTGGAATCTACGTCAACAGGAACTTGGAATGCATTCAGCAAACCTCTTATCTTTCTTTTTAGGCAGCAGTGTTCTAGCAGTATGCAGGCACTCAAGAAGTTTTGAAAGTCTTATGAAACCAACAGCCTAGTAAACCATAGCACAAGAAGTTAAATGTACAAAAAAGGAAAACACTGCTATTACCTATTGTAAGTTCAAGTTCCGTAGTGAAAAGTGAACATTCTGAGATGCGTTGCTTTTCCCTCTAGCCAACACGCAGGGATGGTACAGACCTTTCAGAAGCACCATTTAGTGCAAACAACCTCTGTTAAGACCTGTCAAACTAACAGCTAATGCTCTACAAAACTTAAAACTCAAGAAAGTAAAAGGAATAATAACAAAAAGAAGGCATAGCATGAGAAGGGGGCTTTTCCATGCTGATTGCCAATAGTGGAATGAGTCAAGACCAGAATTAATCAAATAATTTATATGCTAGGTGGGGAGGATGTTCATCTTTCACTGCTAGAAATGGACATATCACAAGTAAGACCAATGATTCTTTCTCCAGCAGTGACCAGCTGGATATCCTTAGATGGGACAGAGCTCTCCAAAACAAAGATGGGAAAACAAATTGCTGGTGTCTTAGTTATAACCTATTATGAAGAGACTGCAGTACATCCTCTTGTTGAATGATGCTTTTCCAGGAACAAAGGCACCAGCACTTCATAAAGATGGGACTGACTTCCAGATGGCTGTCTTCTGGCAGCCGGAAGGGATGTACTGGTGAGAACTACTGATCTAGTAGTGCTCCCAATGGACTGAGTGACAAATTCTCCAAGTAAGAAGGACCTTGAAGACTCATAGCATGAAGTGATGCAGACTTTGAGCCATTTGTTGAATGGGAAAACCTTCTTTCTTTCTTTGACACTATGGCTGAAGGAAAGGGGAAAGAGAGGAAGAAAAGAGGTACTCCTTCAATCTCTTTACGTGAGTTTACAATACAGGCAATCTCCAAGTTACAAACATCCAACTTACAAACAACTCATAGTTACAAACGAGGGTGAGACAACAAGAAGTGAGAAATCTACACCTCAGAAGGAAAATCCACTCCTGAAAGAGTTATCATGGGAAAAGGTGTCTCCACTGAAGCTTTATCACCAAGCCTTGTTACCATAACAAGGAAAATTTTAAAAAAATCCAATTATCACAGGGACAGACAGTGGGCTGAAGTCTTCTGAACAGAGGCACAGACAGTAAAACAAACTCCATAGGGGTGTGAACCCTTCCCTATGCTAGCCAAAGCTCTCTCTCACATTCTCTCTGTCTCTCTCTTTATACACACACATATGCACATACACACGTATGTGGCTGGAGTTACACTTAAAAATGTACCTGTTCCAACTCACAAACAAATTCAACTTAAGAACAAGCCTACAGAACATAACTTGTTCGTAACTTGGGGATGGTCTGTACCCCTATACATCCAATTTATGCTGGACCTACTCCAATCATTTCTTAAGATCTACACAAAGCAGGGCAAAACATAACTTCATAATCATGTTAAAAAAGAGTCTGCCTTAGGATCATAGAAGCAAGAAAATTGCTGAATTTATACAAATTATGCCCAATTCTTTTCCCCTAGATCATCAAAGGAATACTTTCCAGGGAAAGTATATCAAAGTGTAATATACAAGGACTTAAAAGGTGATACTATAAAAGCATTTAGAACTGTGTGGATCCCCAGAATGAGTGAGTTGTCAAAGTTGTTAAGAAAAGGCCCCCAAGGAGCTTTCTTCCACACTAATGGGAGAAGGCCAAGTCCCTTGTTTGTGAGGGCCATTGTGGAAAAAGGGGTGACAGGAAATTCCTCTTTGTGGCAGTCTCGCTGATGAACAGAAAGATGATGGAAAGCCTTTTTGTTGCTGATGTTTCTATTGCAGTTGTTGCTCCTGTTGTTAGAAAGATCTTGTGAGACAAAGCAAGAGAAAGTCATGAGGCAAGAATGAAGAGTGGTTTCTCACTAGAGTGTATTTTTCAGACTTGTGCCATTCTTGCCTATTGGGGTCAGAGAGAGGAGGAACCTATCTCAGGATGTTCAGCCTTTCACTCTTGGAAAAGATCTCTTGTTCTTTGCTTTGACTAATACTATGTGAAATACTATCAGTTCAACACTAGGTTTTTTTAAATTCATAGAATAAATTCTCATTTCAGTTATGCTAAAATATGAATGAACTATTTTCTTATCAAGGTCTCTGTCATGCAGGAATAGACAACCAAAGTATTCAAAGCACACTGAAAAAGATGAGAATATGAGACATACAGACAACCCCCCCCCCCAGGTTTAACACACTTACCATCCAAATGAAATACTGATTAATATAATCAGGATCACTGAGCTGATTTATTAATGGAAGAAGAATTCCTTGAGAAAGGATTTCCTGAAAGAAAAGGGATAATAAGGTCTCACCTACAAGTCAGATAAAGAATATCTTTCTCTTAAATTTACCCAAGTCGATTTTCATAAGGATGGAAGTGGCTGTTTAAGTCCTACATTACTGCCTGTAAAACAATTATTCCAAAGGGTCGATTCAAACATGTCTACCTTGTTTTCAAAATGTAACAAAAGTTGTGCTATACTGAAGTAATTTTAAAATATTTGTTTCATTTTAGTAATTGTGATTAAATTTATTGGTAAGACATTAAATAGTTTTTTCAAAAATTAGGGCTGAATTTGGGAATATACTGACTTAGAATTCAAAGAAACACACGTGCTCATGCAGAGGCATGATAGAGTTAAAAATCAAAAAGCAATTGCATAATGCACATTTTATTTTTAAATATTTTACAAGGTATATTTGTTAAGTATCAATCATTTAGAAGAAGCACAATTATCAAGAATTGAAGAAGAAAAACTGAATATACTTTTTTAAAAAAATTATTACTGTTCTTGATTATACAAACAACTTGAAGATATTAGGCTAAGAAATATGGACTATTGCTATGGTAGAATAAAAAAATTAATTTACCCTGACAAAATATCTCATGATCTTGTTCTGGAAGTCTCCAGGAGGTAGCAATAAATACAGTAAAACTTCACACAGATCCCTTAGGAATCCTATAGGCAGAAGATAACAAAGAAAATATATAAATTAATATACGATACTGGTGAATATATTCTTTATATTTCAAAAAACAATCAATTATCTACCTATTTTGCAACTAATGCCACCTAAATTTGGGGAGATATGGCAACATTCAACAGATCAATAATCATCATCATCATCATCATCATCATCATCATCATCACCATCATCTTTATTTATATCTCATCCCCTCTCCCCAAAGGGACTCCGGGGGGCTCACAACACAAAAACAATATACAGTGTACAATATCAAACAAAAGGCTGTAAATCAAAAACAAAACACAATAAATTAAGGATAAAACAATAAACATAGTTAAAACAGATTGTGGATGTTATAATGAAAATTATATCTTCTAAAAATACAAGCTCATCCCGAAATAGATAGTATTATAGTGCAGTGTGTATTGTGCAATCTCGTCTTCCCTTTTAAAACAATAGAAAGGAGATTAATTTCCTAATAACAAAATTCAATGCTAACCCTATGATGTATAAGCCAATCTCATTATACCAAAACACTAAAGTAACAACTGCCTGTCCAGAAATACCAGTTTAATTCCAGGAGACTGACTGTTACCATAATTTATTCCCACTATATCTATAAAATGCAAATAAAGAACACCTTCTTCATCTTTGGGAGATGTGCAGACTAGATCACGACATATTTTCTCTTCCATTTCAACTTCAACTTCAAAAAATGTATATACAAGATCTTCTGCTCCATCTAAAGAGACATTGAGAAATATACTGGTTCTGAAAATACAAGCTGAAGTATTCTGGTCTGCATTTATCTCTATGAAGTTCCAACAGATACATTAACATTTCTTTTCCACATTAACACCTAGGTGAATTATTACCATTTGCAAATTCCTCCTGCTTCCCAAATGACATTTTTTCCTCCCACGCTTGCCAAGATATGCACTTCTCGGAAAACTTTGTAGGTATACTTTTTACACTTCTATTAAAGTAAAACTGATTTTCAAGGCAAAAACAGGCACACAAAATAGTAATCATTATTAACTGCTGTTGTCTAAATTAGTAGTCTGACAGGAAATCACTCTTCTTCCAAATGTTATTTGCTAGGTCATATAAAAATAGGGTAGTTTAAATAATGCAGAATTTCGAAATAATACATTTAAGAGATTACAGTAAGTGCCCTTACTCCATCAACAAACAACATTTTAATTCAGTTCCTTACAAAAAATTAAATTAACATAATTTTTAAAACCAAGTATTACCTTTATCCTGTTCTTCTTTTTCAGTTATCCTTTGCTGGGCTTTCCTGAAAACTCTAAGGTGAGTGGCAAAATCATCTACAAGTCGAGTAGTAAAATATGGCTGCCAATCTATTTCTTTTGATCTTTAGTAAGGAGAAATAAAACATTGACAAAAAGTTAAAAAGCAGGATTAGAGTACGTGAGCAAATTTCCTCAGAGTAAATCCTACTGGATATAACAATGTTTAGTAGAAAGGTTTCAAAACAGCTTTTACTTTTGAGGATGCTCTTTAAAAAAACCAAACTGGTTTAGCAAGAAGGAATAGTAAGTTATGATCAGTTCTTAATAAATTATACAGCCAGTAGCAGCAAGTTTCACTTCTAGTACATCAGTGGCAGACATTTAAATTAGAACACTAGGTGGCAATCTTATATAAAATGTTTGCTCACTTCATAAAGAGTACAAAACAAGAGTCAAAAGCCACACCAACCATCAACTCAAAACTGAAGTCAATTCTAATTTATAAAGTGTATCTTACACTAGTAAACACACTACAATGGAATGGAATATTATTTTCTATGCCAGATACTATCAATTTCATAGATTAGCATCTCTACTTGAAATTCGGATTCAAGTAATTATAGTAAACTCCTTGTAATTTATTCCTTTTCCAGCAGTAAGTATAATATCTATATTATAACACAACTAACTGAATGAATAACAACACTACTCTTTCTATGATGAAATAATAACATTCACTTTCTTTGTATCATACCACAAAATGAAGCTACTTCAATGGGGAAAGCTGTTTCTCCCAGTTATTTCACACTTCAGTACTATGCCTTTCTGAAATGAACCTGAATATGCTATTTTTTAAAGTGTCTACTGAGGTGAGCTTCCTGTTTATTTAAATGCAGTTATACTTTTTATAATTGTAAAGGTGTGGCCAGAGTTAAGCAAAATGTGACCCATGGGCCACAAGCTGTCCTCATGATCCATCAGGTGAAAAATAGACTTTTTTTTTTTTTGCTTTTGGACAGATGGGGTTTATAAAGATGTGGTCAGAGATAATCAAAATGTGACACATGGGCCACAAGTGGGCCTCATGATCCTTCAGGTGAAAAAATGGTATTTTTTCTGCTTTTGGAAAGCTTTCAGAATCAGTGGTTTACAGGAAAATATGGAGTATGCTATCTCAAACCAACAAATTACATTAGGAAAATAAAAATATTTGAAATATTATGCAGAAATATTATTTCCAATGCAGAAACTGCATACTTAGTAATTCTGAACAAAATCCATGCATGGTTGATTTTGCATTTAACCAACATTTTCTGCACAATAACCAAATTTTCATGCACTAGAAACAATGCTTCTGTGTGGAAATATTATTTTCTGTGGAGAAATTGCTGCAGTTTGAAAACTTTATTATCAAAACTGTCAACTACCTATACACATCTCAGTACAATATGCCTCCCACTATCTTCAACTGCAATTCTTCTCACCACTGAGTGGGAGGGAGGCAGCCAGTAAGATACAGTTCTGTCATGTTTTATGTATTACATGTTATTCCTCTTATGTATATTGTAAAACTGATGGAAAATTAACATTTTGTAAACTTCTCAGAGCACTTTTGTGGCTGATAAGCAAGATAAAAAATATCTAAATAAATAAATAAAATTTGTACTCATTGTAATATATTCAGAGAACCAAGTTGATCCTGAAAGTCAGATATTACAACTAAATTGGAAAAAAAACAACACTGTCATAAAATATATGGATTTTTAGGAAATCCAAAATATGAAAGTTTCCCAAACCCTAACTATTTTGCTGTTGCTGAATTTTTTCACAAGCTCTTGCTTTGTGTAAATCAAACCATAGAACCTAGAGTCCTTCTCTCCCTTCTCACCCCTGTGAAATTTCTGAAAATGGTGGAATGAGCTATTTTGAGAAAAAGACCTTGGGAACTGGAAGTGTAGCTAGCCCCTTTCCTGCTTATTTACTATGTATATGCAAATACAGGTATTCCAATAACTGGAAAAAAAACTGAAATCCAGAAAATCTCTGGTTCTAAGCATTTCAGATAAGGAAGAGTCAGCCTGTACTTTCCCATTCTTTACAGCGAATCACTAGATAAGATTTTATCTCTCTTGTAAACTACTAAATGGTTATAAGGAAAACTTTGCAGATGCACTTTTAATTGTTCATAAATATCGTTCTTACCTAGAAGAAAACTGAATTAGTGCATTTTGCAGAGCTTGCCTGATTTCAAGAAGAAAAGATTCATCATCGCTTAGTGTGTAATACCAATACTGGACATAGTCACGCAGTGAAAATTGGATAACCTAAAATTATATAAAAATATAAACAAAATATTAAAATACGAATAAAACAAACAGCTTTAAGAAATATTTTCCAAAAATAAACTGTAATCAAAATTTGTAAAGGCCAAAGGAACATAAATGTAAAAATTTCCCATTGTTAGGCATAGAACATCTTAAGCTTACAGTTCCTTATCTTCTGTACTCGACAATGGTTAAGTCTAGACTTTGTCTGCTGTGAGCAGATGTTTTCCTGCTAGAGGAATTAAGAATACATTTTTTAGTCCTCCCCCTCCCCCAAATATTTTAGGAGCCCTCCCCAGGACAGTAAAAGTAATGCCAATGGAGGCCACAGGAAATAAACAGACAATTAAAAATTATCTGCTCTTGCTTTTTGCCAGTGGAAACATCCAGATAGGAACTTAAACAAGAGGGGTCCTGCTGGTGGAAACCAAATTTGGACCCAACTGAAAGGATATTAATTACTTATACTGGCAGTCCTCAGGTTACAAACAAGATAGGTAAGTTGGAGCAGGAATATTTTTAAAATATAGTGCCAGCCATTTTTGGTTGTTTTTTTTTAAAGTTTTGGATGGCATAGGGAAGGGTTAACACCCCTGTAACATTTGTTTGGCTGTGTCCCTGTTCAGAAGGTTTCACCTCACTTTCTGTCCCTGTGACAATTGGATTTTGAAAATTTTGGGTTGTTATGGAAACAGGAATTGGTGGTAGAGTTTCAGTAGAGACACTTTTTTTCCCACGATAAACTCTTACATGGGTGAATTTTCCCCCATAGGGGTAGATTTCCTCTCACTTCCTGTTGTTTCACCCATTTATAATTGGGGGCCATATGTAAATTGTATGTTTGTAATTCAGGAATAGCCTGTACAGGTTTCTAAATCAGATACAGGTGTAAAAGTTACAGGTTCCATGCAATTCCATTTAATTTAAGCTGTATGTGATGAGTTTTGGATAAATCTGCTAGACTGATATAAATCAATTCCTATATTACACCAATTCTAAAAACAGTCTTCCTAATAAATAAGGGCCTCTGGCATCTCAGAGGCATCCCAAATAAATACAGTACATTGACTGTACTTTCAAAACTTACACTGGTAGACGGTGAACATCAGCCACAGTTAGCTGTGATGTGCACAAGCCAGTTTTTCCAAATATATCAGTTTATCATAATGAGACTGTTTTGTTTTCAATCTCAAATCCACAAATCTTAGAATTAAGTTATTATATAAGTGGCTAAGCCCTTATTAACAACAACAACCTTTTTATATTTTGTAACAGAACAAAAATGTTAACTCCAAGATTTTAGGACAAAGCAGTAAATAGAATTTAAACCTCCAAATAACTAAGCTAATCTCAGTATTTCTCTGGGAATGAATTCAAGAACTGGAAGAGATCAAATATGAAAAAGACCTTGTAAATTATACTGGAGCTTCGCCAGAGGCGAGCATACAAATTCTAAAAGGTGCTTAGAACAAAAAGGAAACATTTTCCTTTAGTAATAGTACAGCCACCAGGTTGGGCAAGAATATCTGAATCCAAACAATAGAAAAGCATCACACGATATTACAAGAATAATTCAATAGTATCTTCTGAAGTCATGTGCTCCTCACTTTCCCAATCTCTTAACAGTCTACAATTGAATTTCACACAAAAGAGAAACAGAATTTGCAGCATACAGGACATAACCAACAGAATATAGCAGAAGCAGATACTACATTGTACTCCTTGGTATGTATATCTTTGCATTATCTTTCAATTACTGAAATAGTTAACATAGTGCTAAATCTGACACAAATCTTACCTACACCTGCGCCACTGAAATAAATATTACTTGTTAGCCATAATAACCAAGTCACTTTATTTCAATGGGTTCACTCAGAAGATAACTAATGGACTTAGCTGAAAAAACATGGAGCAGTTGCATCTTGGGTTTAAAAGCCTGCAAATTTTGTTTCCCTCCTAATACTGTTTCCTCAAGGATCAATCACAAATGTCTTTTTAAAGTGTGACTTTACAATGAATCCCTAGCTTTCACTTTTCAAGTTCCTCAAGGGAGTGTAAAAACAAGAGGCAGAAATAGTGAGGTGTGCAGAAAGGCAGCAGGCAGAGGCAGTAATGTCTATAAACTGAGGAAACAGCAGTTCTGTGCTACACTTTGTTTGCTGGTCTGTGACATCTGTTTCCGGTTATTTGCTTTAACCAAGCCTGTAGCCAAGATCATAAGACAAAGAATTAAACACAGTCTACTCTTTCCCTTTAAACCAAAGTCAATCAAGTTTAGCCGAAAACTAAAAATAATTCAGAGACCAACTTAAGCAGGGAAATGTGCTTCGTGTTGTAAAAGCACATGCAGCTGCTAATGTAGAAGTTATTTGAGAAACAACAGAGTGCTACAAATGTGAACAGATAAGGGAAGTTCATGAAGAAAAATAATTTTCTATTATAATACAGACGTGGCTCAAGGAAGGAAATATGTAATGCTTGGTTTGTCAAAGATATCGGTTGGGCAGCCTGATCCACACCCCTAAAGAACATGAAAATGTGCAAAAGATCACATTAAAATAATTAGTACAACACAGTTTAGTTATTATTTAAATCCCATGAGAAAGATGTATGGGAGTATGAGAACACTTCAGATAAACCAGGCTGTAAGTTATTCAACATTTGCATCTAGATTTGCAATGTGCAATATATGAGCAATGAAGATCACAGAATATCAGAGCAATAATCTATTTCAAAGCAATTCTACTTTTGAACTCACTTGCTGAAGAGGTTCGTCGATTATATAGGCACCAGTTAGCCTCCTATCAATCTTAATGGGCTTGCTTTCCTGTTTCATTTCTTCTATGCACTTAGGAAAAGATTGGATAGGATCAGTTAATACATTCACAAAGTAATGAACAGAAATTCAAAATCTGGTCTGTCTCTGTGCTTTACAATGTGAAAAATGATTCACCTATGTCCCCTTTCAGAGCTACATTTCTTCTTCCCTATGAGCAGCTCCTTGTGAAGATCACAGTATTTAAAACATCTTATGATGTGGCAAGGGAAGTGGGACATACTGTGAGGAATAGCTCAAAATCCTACTGCCAAAAGACTAGCTTTGCACCATCCATAGCCATCCATACCTTTAAATGTGCAACCGTGATTTGTTTTCACAGCTACAGCGAGATCCAAACAGTTGAGTGTTTGTAGAAAATCCAATATATTTAACTTTTATATAAATCAGTGCCTAGTAGTTTTACAAATCAGTGTTCACGCTAACTCTGCAGTTTTGGAGAGGTAAAGCAAAGAACTATTACTTAACTGAAGCTAAGGATTTATCCAGGGCCCTTCTGCACAGCCATATAACCCAGAATATAAAAGCAGAAAATCCCACAATATCTTCTTTAAACTGGGTTTTCTGAGTCCATACTGCCATATATTCCAGTTCAAAGCAGAAAATGTGGGATTTTATTTATCTGTTTGAAAGGGGCCCCAGTTTTCAGAGATAATCTGAAGAAGTTGAATGCAAAAATGAAAATATCTAGAAGTGTGATTTTGATGTATTTGCAGAATACAGAGAAAGATATATCAAAACACAATCTAGACAGAATTTGAAACTCTCAAATGTATTTTATGTATTTGGGATAGTTTAATTTTTTTTTAGATATCCTCAACTAAGGACTGTGGGAAGGGACAGTAACCTCTTCTTCTACACTGTAGTGCAATAAATATTGACTTGATGGTATGGTGCCCAAAGTATTCCACTTATAGAAGTTATTTTGATTAAACATGCAATATGGGAGAAAGAGATATCCCCATCCCATAAACACACATTTACATGCCATAGTCTCTATCCTGATCTCTCTCTCATCTGGTTATTTGCAATCATAAAATTCAAATAACTGCCTTTTCTGAAAGGAGAAAAGTAATGCTACTTGCAATGGCAAACCATAATCTCTTACAGTGATTAGTCATTTCACACTTCATCATGAATTACAACATTACACAGTCATATAAAGCAGTCTTCAACCATATATTGCTATTTCCAATTCAATTCTCTGAGTGAGGTCTCTTATATGGCCAAATCAATAACACCGTTTTATAAAAGAGAAGCCACAATAAGCCACTGATACTTCTTTCCCAATGTCTATAAAAGTACAAAAACTTTAGGAAGGGGACTGCGAAGAGAAACAGGAAGTTTAAAAAAGAGCATTACAGAATATTTACTAACTGCTGAACAAAGGGGGAAATTATCTGAAAAGTAGGAAGAAAGAAATGAAATGGGCATAAAAAACAGGAACAGACATAAACATTTTTAAATGACTGAGAAAAAATATATCCAGGCCTAGACAGCCTATTTCAAAATATTTGATAGCCCATGAAAGTCTTTTACTGGTTAACTCAATGGGAAAAATTAAGAGAAACAGATAATTATCACATAAATTCATGTTCCTTACCTTGGTAATGCCAAATGATGTAGGAGGAAGAAAGGAGTGTTCACACAGTTCGAGGTACTTCTCTGAATTTGTTTTTCCAAATAAGAGTGTTACCACAAAACCCCTATAAGAATGATACAACTGCATTTTAAATTTTAACCATTAAAACTTGAATGTAAGTGCTAATTCTGAGAATAGCATCCAATCAAATAGATCCATAGCCATAGGTGCTGAAATATTATGATTTATTGGATTTAGAAACTGAATATAGGCTGAGACAATTTAATGTTCTAAATAATAATAATAATAATAATAATAATAATAATAATAATAATAATAATTTGTTTCCCATTATATTTGATGTTCCAATAATGTTTTCACAATATTCTAAACAAATGTTCAGCTGTGAAGCTGAATTTACTTAATATGTTGAACATAGCTTCATTCCTTCATTGTAAATTCACCATCATGTCTATAGCAAAATTCTGTAGAATGCAACTGGTAAGAGACAATTGAGAACAGCACTATCTTTACAAATTTTAAAATATTCCCCTTGCTTGCATAAAATCCACTTTTGCCTTTCTTCCAAAATATACAAAAGACAGCCTCTATTTATTTGCAAACACTTCATTATTTTTACCTCGTAGTCAATTAGTCAGCTTGGTTATTTGGATACATATCTTCTAAAACCCTTTTTTTCCCAATCTCTCTAGGGCCCCTTCAACACAGCTGATTCAAATCCAACATTATCTGCTTTGAACTGGGATATATGGCAGTGTTGACTCAGATAACTCAGTTCAAAGCAGATATTGTGGGATTTTTCTGCCTTGATATTATGTAAATATCACAGTGTGTGGCAACGGAATTCCTAGTTGGTGGGATCACAGGTGTTGGGAAGGAGGGATGGTTTTGTTTGTTGTGTTTGCTATTGTAGTATTTTGTTTGTTTTGTATCTACTTGCTTGTTTTAGTTGTAATTGTTGTATCATGATTATATAAATTTAAAAAAAATAAAAAGAGAAGAGCACTATCCATAAAATGAAACAGGTTTATAGAAATAAATGAAAACACAATACAAAACATTATTGTATTTACAATAATTTAGGAAGATCTCTGGGGGCCTGGCTTAAGGGAATGTTGGATGAGGTTGGTTTCTTCCTGATTCACTGCCAAAAGTTCTTTCTAACCAATTTCCCCTTCCCATAGCTGTCCTACTGTTGGGGCTGAAAAAAGGGTGATTATATAATATATTTGGGCAGCTATGGATCCATATCACCTTAAGAAATCTGAAAGTGATTATGGGAAGGGGAGAATATCTCCCACCTGCATGACCAGTACAAGCTGGCAGGACACAGGAATGGCAATAGCTTCATCACAGATACTCCCACACTGTTCTGTTACATAACTGTATTGGACTATCCTCAAGGGATGGGGATTGAAGTTCCCTTGATGGTTAGAACAAAATTGTTCTCGACCTGTATTGTGACCACAAAAGACAAGCTAATGGAATATTCTAAATGTAATATGTAATTGATCTATAACAGCAAGGTTCAGATGAGACCATTTGCTAAAATATGATGGCCACAAAGAACAACATTACAGAATGATTAGCAATATTACAACATAGTTGCTCCAATTATGACTGAATTCTTCAATACCATTATGTGACCGCATCTCCATGAACCCACGCGTTCACTTCGTTCATCTGGAGAGGCCCTGCTCGTGATCCCGCCTGCGTCGCAAGCGCGTTTGGTGGGGACACGAGACAGGGCCTTTTCTGTGGTGGCCCCCCGACTCTGGAACACCCTCCTCAAAGATCTTAGACAGGCCCCTACATTGGCAGTCTTCAGAAAGAACTTGAAGACCTGGCTGTTCCGATGTGCCTTCCCAGAATAGGAAATCTCCAATACCAAGTCCCAGAAGCACTTTATTAGAACTAAGATTGCCGCACACTGCACACTGCACTTGCCCTATAATCCTTACATATCACCTGCCACATCAGCACTTTTAATTCTGTACCCTTCACTCTGGCCCGGCCCAGTTTTATTGTGTTTTGGTGTATTGTTTATTGCTTGTTGTTTTGCTGTTTAATATTACTTTAATTGTTTTTAATTTGCTTTATGTTTGTATTGTTATGTTGTGTTTGAGGCCTTGGCCTTTGTAAGACGCATCGAGTCCTTTGGGAGATGCTAGCGGGGTACAAATAAAGATAATAATAATAAAGATAATAATAATAATAATAATAATAATAATAATAATAATAATAATAATATGTCTCTGGATACACCAGGGGATTGGACATCTAAGTAATATGCCCTGTTGGTTTTATCCATGCTTGCTCATAATGTCTTCCCCCAAATTATTTTAAATTGGAATGCAGCATTCTTCATTGTACTGACTGTTGAAACACACAAATTACACAAAATGCTATATAAACAAACAAAAATGATATACTTACCCACCCACAAAGCAGAGGATATAAAATGCGAAGTAAAATATAGCAAATGGTCCAAACGTTACTAGAAAAAGCACAACACAAAGGCTTCCCCATCCCCATATGGAAAGACTGGTCTGAAAGAAAGTAAGAACAGAACAGGTAAAATAACACTATTTTCTCAAAGGATAATAGTAAAATCTTTTACTTTTTTTGAACTCAGGAAAAATTATGTCAGGGTATCCTCAATAAAGATATAACACTACATTTAATAAAATTAAGTCAATTAGAGTCCTAGATTGTTTTTCTTTTAGAAGGAAAAGCACCCTTATCAATTGTGCGCATTACCAAAACGCCAAGAAAGTGGCTTTTCTTTGGGAATTCCAAGACCTATGGGCAGCTGCAGAGTCTAACTCTGAAGCAACTGAAAGGCAGGCATTTTTTTCCTCCTCAAATGGGTGTCCTTTTAACTGCAAACAATGAAAAATTCCAGGTTTTAAACATTTCTTACAGTTTTTTCAGGAAGGAAAAAAATTAAGTCCCGCAATCGCAAAATATAAACGGCATTTCCAAAACTTCGCCCTTTCAAGACTTCCACCTCTATGCCCAGATGTTATGAGGTCTATAAGACCAGGGTGCAACCACTCTCATCTAGTGTTTCTTCTTCCTGTAGTCTCCTCTTGGAAATAATGAAGGAACAGCAGGAATCATTCATATGTAAGTGGGGAAACAAATAGTTTTGCAAGCACATGATGTATGGTGCACTGGCTCTAAGAAAACACATACACACAGATGCACTTTAGCCATAACGTAAGACTTTTTCTCAAAAAGTCTCATCCCCTTCCCATCAATGGTGGATGCTATTTCAACCCTATCTCTACCCACATCCCCATCCTACTGAATGGCTGAGGTATAATGGAAAAGAGAAAACTGAAAAGACCAACCCTACACAATTTAGAACCCAGAAAGAGTGATTTTATAATATCCTGGATTCTTGTAAACAGTTTGAGCAGTAGTCCCTCTTGATACATCACTAAACTTGAGATTCGGGAACATATGGCTTCCTCCCAATCTCTATACATTTTTGTTTCCATACCCTAAACAAACATGTAGTATGTTATCACATCTTGCAAAAGAACTTATCTCCTTGATAACTTTTTGGAACAAAATCTATAATACTCTTATTAAATAAAAAAAACATTTTCTTAAAAATTATATTATGTATATTGTGTAAAAAATATTTTAAAAACCATTTCTCTCCAAAGATAATAATATATTTTTCCAATTGTGAGTATACAACAATACTGCCACCATAATCATGTATTGATGAAATCTTGGGACTACTGTAGAGGAATGATTCCTTTCCAGTCATTCCCAAAAAAAAAACCAGTTCTATTTCAGCCATATGCTAGCCTTTAATATCCTCTGAAGCAAGATTATGTATTTGAACCCAAACATTTTTTTGCCCTCTCATAAGTGCACCATATATTATAAAATGTCCCTCCTTGCTGTTGATATTTCCAACGGTTTTACATTCTAGACAGCTTTTCTGGAGCCATCTACCAATGACTATTACCATTCTGCTGGTCACTGACTAGGAGAGAAGTAGCCAGCAAGGCACAGCTATATCGTAGAACAATCTGAGGAAATCCTCAATGGCAGAACAAGCAGGTGATAACATGGTGCGTGTTACAACTGTGAAGGTGGACGAAGACTGCAAGAGGCCATCAATCCATGCCATTTGATTCTAACCTCTTTCTGTGAAGATTGTGTGTTGGTTTCTGTGCACCAATCCCCACACATAAAATTAATTCACACACAGGCATCTTCCAAGCAAACCAAAACCAACAAAAGTCCTATGACAATTGGTGAATGATAACGGAAGCAGGGCTGTGAAATTTGCAAGCCCCTAGCTGCAAACTGGCACATGGGCAGTAGATATGGATTCAGTTGTTCTAACTCACCACCAAGACTCTACCTTTGGAAGACAATCATACTCGACCATGAATAATCACCTATGATGATACCAATTGTACACCGTTTTATAAAAAAATCTTTTTAAATACTATAACACAATATAAATTTTAACCCCTTACGGTCACATCATTTCCATTGCTCCATTTGAATGTTGTATCCAAAATTCCTATCACATTTTATCATACAATCTTTCACTATTTCTCCTTCCATTTCAAATGAGAAACTAGACAACTCCTGTCAGCATGGCTGTACTGACCCAAGAGGAGCCTGCTGATCTCTTCCTGAAAGCTGAAGATCTAGGTACCTTCTACACTGCCATATATCCCAATATCTGATCCCAGATTATTTGCTTATCCCAGATTATATGGCAGTGGAGATTCATATAATCCAGCTCACAGCAAATAATCTGTGATCAGATACTGGGATATAGAGATGGGTTGATCCAGCCCTAGCTTTCCCTAGGATACTTTTGAAGATTGTAATCTCTGATAGCTCTCACTCGTGTTCTCAGGATTGATTCAAACATGCTGCCATCCTCTTTCTTATTCTTTGTGCCACCTAACCTTCAAGGTCAAGGCAGCTTGCTGACTCCAGAGGTCCAGCCAGTGGGAAATATGGCTTTGATGGGCTCTGGTTTCATCTGCTCTTGTGGGACCTTTGGTCTCACTATGTTTGATACATTTGCTCCATACAATATTTCTCTCATACTATTTCTGGCTTCTGGCGACATTCTGCTCTCCAGGTAAGCTGTTTACTATAATCGGATCCCTGCTTCTTTGTCACTCCAACTCCAACTAGTTACTCATATTGCCCTCTTCTGTCTTACATATTTTTGGCATTAGCTGTTTGTGATCATGGCAAATTCTCTCCTACTTTGCTTTAAATGACCTGAAATATTTACAACACCATTAACAAATAGGTACAGGCACTACTCAAGTTACAAACATCAACTTCCATACGGCTCATAGTTAAGAACAGTAGTGAGACAACAGGAAGTGAGAGAAATCTACTCCTGAGAGGGGAAATTCACTCTTATAAACATTATCATGGGGAAAAAGCTGTCTTACCCACCCACACCGATCTATGTTGCCACAACAATACAAAATTTTCAAAATCAAATTATCACAGCAACAGAAAGTGAGGTGAAATCCTCTGGACAGGAGCACAGTCAGTTACAGGGAGGTTAACCCTTTCCTATACTATCAAAAGCTGGGGTGGGTGAGGGTGGTGTTACACTAAAAATGTACCTTTTCTGACTTACAAACAAATTCAACTTAAGAGCAAACCCATAGAACCGATCTTGTTCATAACTTGGGGACTGCCTGTATTTTAAAATCTGATCCTCCTCACGCATAATATTATTACAAATATTGTATCAAAGTATCTCAGTCTATGTCCATAAAGTACACATAAAACAAAAATGAATTCCTTGTTTACACTAGGGTTTTCCTCTCCATGATATCACATTATGTAAGTATATGCAATACAGGCATTCCAAAATCTGGCAAATCCAAAATCAATCCCACTTCTGGTCTCAAGCATTTCAGATAAGGAAGACTCAACCTGTACTGAGTTCCCTCATGGATTTCCCTTAGGCAAGAAGATATCACTTACATACCTCATGAACTCAATCCTTTCTAAGGGATTACTTTTCTTCAAAGCTCTTCCTCTTCTCTAATAGCAGCTAGAACACAAAGCTAACTTTTACTGTGCCAATATTGGTCATCTGAGGTAATGGGTACAAAGGAATGGAAAGCTAAAAAACTTTCACCTTAACATAAAGCAAAGGTGCATGTTTTTCCAGTAAACTATGAAAGAGATGGTAGTCATGTGTTTAAAAACCAGGAAGCAAAATAGCTTGCTGGGTCAAAATAAAAATTGTAGCCAATGAGCATCACTATAGTGCCAGTCCCTGACACATTAAACAGTTACTGCCAATTGTTCATATCACAAAAACCAAAAATACTGTTTTCAAGGGCAGTAGCTTGTTTGTGGAGTTATATGGTAAAAGGTTTTTGTTACATAAGAGAGGGAAAATTCATTTCATTTTAAGGATTAAATTAAAAAATAATCTCCATGTTGCAACTATCAAAATTAATTGAAATGAGTTGTTTTAAACTAATTGTTCAACTCCAAATTTGCTGATTAAAGCTTGTGGAATTCTGTTGCATGACACATTGTACAGTCTTTTTTGGGATCTTTTTATGCAGTGTCCTATAAAGTGTTTAACAAATAAACAAATCAGGTGCTGAAATTTTAGGGACAAATAATAAAAAGTAAGTTTATTGTACTCTACTTCAGTTAGGCCTGAGTAGCTTTATACATAAAATAATAGCTTAAATTGGTACTCAGAATACCTTCAGGAAACAAAGGCCTAAACTGTATATAGAAAGCATACTGTGTGAAAACAGACTGAATTGAATCAGATGATGTGGGATGATCCAAAGATAACACCACAGAACAGCTCAGAACCCATGGACGAATCAGAAGACAGGACCAAAGAACAATTAAGAACACATAGAGCAGACTTCAGAAAGAACATTATGCGTTAAAAACAAAACCCAGCTAGAATGTGATTTTAGATTACATTTTGCCAATGGTGAGACTGGTTGAATGATTAAGTCCGTAATGTATTTCACTGAGAAAACACTTTTGTAGTTTGGTGGCTCAAGAAAACTAAGTGATTCATCAAGGAAAATTTCAGGTCAAGGTCAGAGTTGAAATCTGTTAAGACTATATAAGAGAAACAGACAGCATCAGGTCAAGAAGTTAGGTAAGTCAGAGGATGGACATGTAAAGAGTGACTAACTATATAGGAAGCATCAAGTTCCCTACACATAACAAAATTACCTTGAGAATCTCAAGTTCTCTCATTTTCTATGTTCAAGAGGACCTCTCAATTCATGATATGTGCCTCTACTATTATTTTAACATTACCAATGCTCACAGTGATTTTCAAAGATAGTTTGAAACCTTAAAATAGAAAAAGGGAAGAAAAGAGAAACAAGGGAAGAATACCTGAGAACTTTCTATGCATGTGAAACAAGATAAAAAAGACCAGACTATAGTGTAAATGCATTTTGTTACATAAACAGCAGCCACAGGACACCTTAACAGACTTATGACTCCTACTGTGTAAATCAGTGGTTCTCAACCTTCC